AATAGACAAAACTAAAACGTGTGTTACCATCAATAAATGTGATGAAATATTAACATTTACTGCATATCCTTACATACATTGAGAGACAAATATTGGAATGTCTCAATTGCAATGGAACTTCAAATATAATTTTTTTATCAAATGATTTTCTTGTCAATTTTTTTACAAGATAGTTTACACATAATGGTTGATTAACCTTATCACATAGGGCCTTGTAATCCTTCTTTTATTAATCTATCCATTCTTTGTTGACCCATATAGTTAAGTTTAACATGCTAAACATTTACATTAATATTAGCATCACAAAATCATTTAATAAACATCCAAATCCATATTGATTTGTTTTCAAAAATAAATCCATATCAATGTTATTAAAATTCATAACAAATCCGAGACAAAGAAGAATAATGATAGAAACTAAATTTCATCAAATATCAGGAGTAAACAAGACATTATGTAAGATGAGGATTTTTTTTCATCATACACACTTAACTTGTAAATGTCAACACCCTTTACTTCAATCTTTTGATTGTTTCTTACGTAAATACATTTTACTCATGTCTCGTGCTACATGATTTATGGCCCTTGAGTCTTCTTCGTCTCGTTACATTCATAAGTAAAGTAATTCTCTTTATCATAGCTAACATACTTGACTTTAACTTTATTTTTTTCAAACTAAGCCTCAAGACCATTCCTTTGCCACTTTGATCACTTTTTGGTCTTGTTGGAACTTTTTCTTTTGTTTCCAACATATGGCTTATGCTTAAAGCCCATAATTTCCTTTGAACATGTGTATGCCATATACACATCAACATTAGGCTCAAATGCTTCTTGTAAGATCTTTTTCTAATTAAAGATAATGATAAGCATCATTAAAAGTCATTATACTCTCATTGTGGGTCAAATATACTTCACGTGTTTTCAATTATGTGGTAAGAATCAAATTATAGCTTGAACCTCTTGTTCATCTGTTAAAGTATTATCAACCCTTTTTTCTAAACAAACTTTGTTACACACTTCACATCTTTTTTAGCAATGTCATGTTACCTAAACTCATGCGTGATATTATTCTCCATACTATTTAGCAATGTAACGCTAGCAATAAAGTTTTCTCTATCCTGGTTTACAAGCCCTTAGTCTCTTCTATGTTAAGACGTATTTCTTTACTTAGGCTCTATTACGACAATATTTAAAATTTTAAGAATTTTTTGTTTTTTTAACTCATACTAGATTTTCATATTCCATATTCTATAATTATCCCCATTCAATAACTATATATTTAAATACAAAAGGCCATATTCAAAGGATAATTCAATATTGAAAGACCAATGCACTGATTAATGCCTATCATTACACACATCTATTTTACCATAATATCACAAATAAAATAATAACAATCATTCACGTAAAAATAAAACAAAAGTTCACTATGTTCGTGATCAAATTTCATTTTTAATGTGTTTGATTATCACTAATTTATTTCATTATGTAAAATCAACAATTTTAAAATAGAACAAATCAATTATTTTAAAACTCTTACTAACCATAAGTTTGCCTTTAATCAATGACATACATTAATTGAAATTCACAGAGACAAGTCTCATATAACATGTACATACTGAACACATGAATAAATTTCATCATTAAACATACACATTGTTTATTAAACTATGTTCTCAATTAGTACGTATTATTGTTTAATGACTAGGATGAAATCTATAAATTCCTATAACAGTTTTCACATTCTTATTAGCTATCCATAAAGATCCAAGTATTTTGTGTGCCATTATGGAAACTTGGGCCAATAAAGAAAGTTGCATTCCTCCTTACCCTTTTCTCGCAAAATCACAAAATTTTTTATCAAAGTTGAATGTTAGGATATTTCCTCTAATTAAATATCCAAAGATCTTTAAACAGATTATATTGTCTTAATATAAGGAATGTATAAATTTGATATTATGTATATGTTTAAATCCTCATTATATGTATGTTGCCTCATATAATCAACTCTTTAATTTTGTTGTTAACCCTTGATGATATGATACAATATCATCATCATTTGAACTTATTAAGTGTTACACTAGTTAAATTAGTAACCTTATGGCTCTAAGTAACTGGACTTAAGTCCTTATAATAATAGGAGTTCTCACAATCATTGTTATGATTTTCTATAATATATATACGAGATAATTCATGAACACACACAAGTTTTACAATGATTAAAACGTATTGTAATATTTCATGCTTTTCTTGCTCTTAAGGTTAACTAAGAACTATAAAAAAAAAAAATTTAAATCATTTAAAAAAAAGTTTCTTTATTTTTCAATTTGTTGAAATATTACATATGACACTCAAATTCTTTAAGAAAATATTTGAATGCCTATTCAAAAAATGGGTTAAAAATTAATATTTTGCTAAAAGAATTCGATGCCCTATCAAGCATTTGAATGCTTGAGTTTTGAAACGTAAAACTTGATCCAAAATAATCCAAACTATAATGGCAACTTACATTTAAATATTTCAAAACATTCACAACAACTTTTTATAGCAAAATTACACACTTTGTGTAATACTTCAATAGATTTTCAAACACATTTCAATAAGAACTCAAAAATATTTCAACAATTTTAGTTTTTCAGGACAAATATCAAAATAACTAAGAATCAAGCCAACCTAGCTCTGATACCAATGAAAAATAACCAAATAACATGATGAACAAAATCAAATATCAAAATAATGTGAAAGACTTAATTTGCAAAAGCACAACGAAAGCGTTTTTGTAACAGTATTGCAGAAGTGGTGCTGAGTTAATTCATTGGTCAGGAATAAGATCATGTATTTGAAAATTATCCATTTTTCACAATGTAAGTCCTTAAATATTGAAATAAAAAATTTCTTAAAGGGTTTTTTTTTTTTGTCAATCTCTCTCTTTTTCTTCTCTTGTTCTTTATATGACTCATCATGTAATCTCACATGAATTAGACTTATCTTATACTTAATTCGAATGAACATATTCATCCTTTTAATCATGGCTAAATTCTTTAATAAATATTAAGAAAAGAAGAGATTGACCCTTTTTTCTGGAATTTTTCTTCATCTTTTTTTTCTATGGCCGAATGCCACGAATTAATTAAGAGAGAGATCCCATTCTATTTTCATTGACATATAATACAAAACTAAATTATCATTAACTGTCCATGACAATTTTTTTTAGTCTTGGTATTAAGATATAACTACCTTTTTTATTATTATCTAATGTGTGAAATTTTGCCACCTATTGTGGGTGGCAATTTCTTACAAAAATGTTCTTTATCAAAAATAGTGACAATGGCATCTTTGATTTTCTTTCCAAGAAATGACTCTATTGTTTCCTTTATCTTTATAAGAAGTTAAGAACTATTGCATCTATGTCCTCAAAGTTGAAGACCTTGGTTTTCCCATCTTTAATTTTCACTTGAATGTAAGGCTTTCCATCCTTGTTAACAATTCTGTATGGTAACAAGCTTTATGTCCTTCTGAACCTCTCTATTGTCAAATCTACCAAAAACCCTATTCAAATTTTTTATGCACAAATTCTATATTATAAACTAAAAAAAAAATTTACTTTTTATCGATAAGTCTTTTGACATCAAAGACAGTCCTCCTGGGATTCACAACTACCTAGTTTTATGCTACCTCATTAATCAATCTCTCACTGTTAGTAAATGCCACTACAAAATGGCCATTCTGTTACCTTGGTCATTAGCTATCATCTCAACATGATCATTTTTGTAGACACACCAACACAAGAAAAAGTCGTTCCAAGGTCTATCCTTATAACTGTTCCCAACTTAGTGGCCTCCTCCTTTGCGAATAATCAAAAGATATAAGGTTAGAAACATATGCCCACGAATCTTTATCTCCATTTTTTTTATTCATTACAAAAATAGCTTTCAAGTAATGGCAAAAAAAAAAAAAAACATACTTATTGAATGAAATGGTTGCTAGTGAGATAAGAGATGAGCGTCGTCTCAATGCACAATCCATTAAAGCTTCAAGGTTTTCTTGTTGCTTTTTTGTCTCCTATCTTCTTAGTAATAAATAATGAGAAATGGTTTTTTAATAGACGACAAAGACATTACTTATCAATTAAGGTTTATATATGAAAAAAATTTACATGAAATTTTATAAATAAAGTTCATAAATTTTTATTAAAAATGAGTAAATAAAAATTAAAATCGAAAATCAAAATCAATAAATTAAAAAATATTATCATATAAATTAAGCATGCAAATTTTGAAAAAATTTAAAAAATTTTAAAAAAAATTTGATATATTTATTAAATAGATATTTTTAGTAAATTTATTAACAAAATTTTTATTATTAAGTGTTGAATAAGTATCAATCAAATTTAAATTATAAATAATTTTTTAATAATTTTTTTATCTATTAATAATTTTTTCATTAAATTCTATAACCAGCTTATTCCATTCGGGTGTTGGTGTTCAAACCTCGTTCGTTGAAACTTGTGATTCATGATGACGTGGACGAGTAAGAACTCATTGGTGGTAGTGTAATCCAATCAGAACAAGCCTTGTGTTGGGACAATCTTGGTCGTTGATTTGGTAAGTTTTACACACAGTTGACGGGTTGACCTTGACGATTTGAACACTGAAGATTTTATGAAATAGGCAAGAAGCATATAGTTCTAACTTTGTTCTGTTGGCTTTTGAAAATAAAAAATAAAAACCAATTAAAATGCCTAAAAATTCAAAGAAGAAACCCAATTCTCTGGATTAAATTTAAACGCCCCCTAATTTGGGTGTTTTATGTATGTGCCCTTCCCTTCTAACTGTCAATAACCGTTTTCCCCGCCAGCCCATGTTCATTGGCTTCAATGGATAAAATAAAAGAAAAGTTGAAGGGACTGAGAAAAATCATTATCTTCTTGATTGCATTTTCCTGTTATTGTTTATGCTACCATCATCCACCCATCCTTGGTCCCTTTTCGTTGCCATTAAATGGCGAAGGCGGTGGTTTACACACTTTTAGCCACCGCCTTCATCATTCTCTTCATGTTCTCCCCAAACAAACCTCATGGTCATACCCGATTAGGCCTAAACCGTCGCCTTGGCTACAAAGCTCCACATTTTGACCCTTTGGTCTCAAGAATTGAGAGATCAGCGGAAGAAAAAAGATTGAGCTATCACGTTGATCCAGAACACATTTCTTATGTTCCTGAGGTTGAAGATGCCCACGAGTATTTTGATGACGAGGGAAATTTAAACACCACATTGAGGTTGATGGTTTTGTTCCCTTTGTTAGACAATGCACCAAAAGATGGTTTAATCAGTGCCAAGGAGCTAGGGGCTTGGATTGGGCAACAGGCCATTGATCGTTTGAGTTATAGAACAGATAAAGTCTTGTCATGGCACGATAAAAATGGGGATGCAGCTATCAGCTTCAGCGAGTATCTGCGTCATTTTACTCAGGATGATATAGGTTAAGCCTTTAGCCATTCTTTTACTTGTTTCCTTATTACCAAATAGACCAACAACAAGATTTTCTTTGCGTATGGATATGAATTGACATAATTAGGTGAATTTGAAGCAGATGAAAATGGAAAGGGACATGGTGAAGCTGGATGGTGGATGGAGCAATTCAAAAATGCAGACACAGATACGAGTGGGAATCTTGACTTCAATGAATTGAAAGAGTTAATACTTCTTTCATTTACGTTTCTTTTTTTTTTTTTTTTCAATTTTTGGGTAATGCAACAAAGTTAGATTTTTAACCAATTTCCTCTCCAGTTTCTTACATCCAGAAGATAGTGAGAATGAAGAAATTCAGAAATGGCTGTTGAGCGAAAAGATGAAGTTAGTTTCCTGTCAGTTTCTCTGTTTCTGCATATATGTTATAGTCATAACCTAGTTTTTCAATTGAGCCACGAGCTTCTGTCATTTGTTTGCACTGGATCAAGCAATGATCTTTTTTCCTGATTGAGCAGACGTATGGATGATGATCACGATGGAAAACTCAATTTCCAGGAATTTCTAGAGTACGCATACAACATTTACAAAACCTATGCTGAATTTGAAAATGCCGCTGCCACTGCACCTACAGCTGAAGAAAAATTTGCGGAGCTAGATATCAACGAAGACAAGTAATTACTCCTCCAAGCCCGACGCTTTATTATTTATTTTTTAATATGATACGTCCGAAATTAAATTCTAATTATTAAAATTAAAAATTTATCATTCTAACAACAAACTCCACAATCGTGGATTATTTTCTCTCTTCTCAGCTGGTGATCCTATAAATTTATATAATCATGTCTATACAACTTTGAGCTTTTGCAGATATCTGGTGATGGAGGAATTGAAACCCATACTCCGTTATCTCTACCCTGGCGAGTTGTTCTACGCCAGGTACTTCACCAGTTATCTGATGTACGAGGTGAAGTAATTAACACTATTTATAAAATAAAAAATAAAAAAAAATTTCTTGAGTTCCTGGGTTTTTTTTTTTTTTAGCTTAATTTTATTTTATTTTAACATCAGGCTGATGATAATAAAGATGGGAATTTGACGATTGAAGAGATGCTCAATCACGAAAACATATTCTACAACTCACTCCATGATGACAGCATCTACGATGACGACTTTGATGATATCCGTGACGAACTCTAGACTGAACTATAATTTAATCCGTGCAATGTTTTGGATTTGGTTAACATCCCATCACAGCACCGTGAAAATGAAAACTCAAGTTCAATATTGTTTTTCTTTTCATGTCTTTCACTATGTTTTCTTTTTTTGTTAAAAAAAATCGAAATAAATAGATTATTTAATTTTTAAAATTAGAATAAAATATATTATACTTAATAATTTAAATCAGATAATTGCAACCTTTCGTAACGTTCTAAGTGAAAGAAAATTTACAAAAAATAAATTTGTTGAAGTTAAATAATATACTAATAAATGTTTGATCAAATAAAAAAAAAAGAAATTTTTTTATTGTTAAATTTTAAATTTGATGAAAAATGTAAAAAAATATTTTTGATAAATTCATTAAAATTAATATAAATAAATTTATTTGAATCAATTTAAAAAAAAAATTTAAAAATTAAATCATACATGTTTGTTGAATGAAAATTCATGGTTTTTTTTTTTCTTTTTGAAACATATTAAAACATTGAACTTAATTTCTGGAAATCTGTCAGGTTTTACTAGGAACAAGAAGCCAACCTACGCTTTTATCAACTAGATTTTCTGAATTAATTTCAGATTGTAAATGGACTCAACTGCTTTAGATTACTTGTTCTGCTGAAGTAACTAAAACCAACTGTACAAACTACAAACCCAATAAATAAAGTAAAAGTAATCACCTGCTTTACAAAAAAGTTTCGACCGTCCGATCAAAATGACTAAAACTTGCCTCTTATGATTTAGGCTACCTAATTTCTCCAAAAGCAATCTTAACCGTTAAGTAGTCTGACTTTTTTCCATTAGCAAGTCCTGATAATCAAATTTCCCTGTACAAAAAAGTCTGTCAACTTTATACCTGGGGCCCATTTGAACAACCTGTGGAACGCGTACTACCCAATAACAGCCAAAGAATATTTCTATTCTTCTTGTTTGTTCTTCTTCTCTGTTACCCGTTTCCTTTCCTTTTTCCTTTTCTTTTTCTTTTACCCTCTCCAATTATTAGGGTTTAATTTAGCGCAGCCGCTTTTGATCTTCTCGATCAGTGAAGGTTAAAGTCTGCATCAAATTTGGTGATTTTAAGGTGATTTTGTTGAACTCCGCTTCGAAAGTTTCATTTTTGTTTGTAATTAGGGTTTTGGATACTGATTTTGGGTATTGGATGTTGAATGACTTTATCTGCTCTCAATTTTTGTTTTTTTAATCTTAGGGTTCTTTTTATTTGTACTACTGATTAGAGTATTAGATTTTCTTTGGAAAGATTTGAGTGATCCAATTGCTATGTGATATAGTATTTAATTTAAATATAATTTGATCTGGGATCTTTCTATAGTTTTACTTGTCAAATTTCAAATTTTAAGTTTTTAATGTCGAATTGGCACCATTGGTCCTGAATATTTAAGTGTTCCTATCAGTTGCTAAGTATGTAAGTAGAGATGAAAATAGGGTTTTGATTTATTTACTGCATATTGGTATTAGTCTTTGTTTGCTCTTTTTCAATGAATTGTAAAGGAACGGTTTTATGTTAGTTTCCCTTTAGTTTGGATGTGTTTCATATTATAAAGTTCTTTTACCTTGTATGTATTTTTGCGATTGAGGTGTTGGAATATTTACACTATACTGAATTTAGCTATTGAGTCTATGTATCTAATTCATTTTAATTGTTGAAGCTTTCAGAAATACTAGGGTGATGGAAGTTACACAGGTGCTTTTGAATGCACAATCAATAGATGGAGCCTTGCGGAAGAATGCTGAAGAAAGCTTGAAACAGTTTCAGGAGCAGAACCTTCCTGGTTTCTTGCTTTCACTTTCTGGAGAGTTGGCAAATGAGGAGAAGCCTGTTGAAACACGCAAATTAGCTGGTTTGATACTTAAAAATGCATTGGATGCTAAGGAAGAGCACAGGAAGTATGAGCTTGTGCAAAGATGGTTGTCCTTGGATGCCAATGTAAAGAGCCAGATTAAGGCATGCTTATTAAAGACTTTGTCTTCTCCAGTATCTGATGCTTGGTCAACTGCATCTCAAGTCATTGCCAAGGTTGCTGGCATTGAGTTGCCACAGAAACAGTGGCCCGAGTTGATAGGTTCACTTCTATCAAATGTTCATCAGCTACCAGCTCATGCCAAGCAAGCTACTTTGGAGACTCTTGGGTATTTGTGTGAGGAGATCTCCCCTGATGTTATTGACCAAGATCAAGTAAATAAAATACTTACAGCTGTAGTTCAAGGTATGAGTGCTTCGGAAGGAAACACTGACGTAAGGCTTGCGGCTACAAGAGCACTTTACAATGCGCTGGGATTTGCTCAGGCGAATTTCAGCAATGACATGGAGCGTGATTATATCATGAGAGTTGTCTGTGAGGCAACCCTGTCCCCAGAGGTGAGGATTAGGCAGGCAGCTTTCGAGTGTTTGGTCTCCATGTCATCAACTTACTATGAGAAACTAGCTCCTTATATCCAGGATATTTTTAACATCACAGCAAATGCTGTGAGGGAAGATGAGGAACCTGTTGCCCTTCAAGCCATTGAGTTCTGGAGTTCAATATGTGATGAGGAGATAGATATTTTGGAAGAATATGGCACTGATTTCACTGGGGACTCTGATATTTCTTGCTTTTATTTTATCAAGCAGGCACTCCCTGCACTTGTTCCTATGCTGCTGGAGACACTGTTGATGCAGGAGCAGGATGAGGATCTGGATGAAGGGGCTTGGAATGTTGCAATGGCTGGGGGAACATGTCTTGGTTTGGTTGCACGGACTGTAGGAGATGATATTGTCCCTCTTGTTGTGCCCTTTATTGAGGAGAATATAACAAAACCAGATTGGAGACAGAGGGAAGCGGCAACTTATGCCTTTGGTTCAATCTTAGAGGGACCTTCCCCTGAAAAATTAATACCTCTTGTGAATGTTGCCCTAACATTCATGCTCAGTGCTTTGACAAAGGACCCCAATAGCCATGTCAAAGACACTACGGCCTGGACCCTTGGACGTATCTTTGAATTCCTTCATGGTTCAGCTGTGGATTCACCCGTCATCACTCAGGCAAATTGCCAGCAGATAGTCACGGTTCTGCTACAGAGTATGAAGGACACTCCAAATGTTGCTGAGAAGGCCTGTGGTGCTCTCTATTTTCTTGCTCAAGGTTATGAGGATGTAGGTCAATCATCTCCTTTAACTCCTTTTTTCCAGGAAATTGTCCAGTCCCTTCTCACTGTCACTCACCGAGAAGATGCTGGAGAATCCCGGCTGAGGACTGCTGCCTATGAGACATTGAATGAGGTGGTGAGGTGTTCAACCGACGAGACAGCTCCATTGGTGTTGCAATTGGTGCCTGTCATCATGATGGAACTTCATAACACTCTCGAAGGGCAGAAACTGTCATCTGACGAAAGGGAGAAGCAGAGTGAATTGCAAGGCCTTCTTTGTGGGTGTTTACAGGTCATTATTCAGAAGCTTGCTTCATCAGAACCAACCAAGTATGTATTCATGCAGTATGCAGATCAAATAATGGGACTTCTCCTCAGGGTTTTTGCGTGTAGGAGTGCTACTGTACATGAGGAGGCCATGCTTGCAATTGGAGCCCTTGCTTATGCAACAGGACCAGATTTTGTGAAGTACATGCCAGAGTTTTATAGGTACTTGGAAATGGGTCTTCAGAATTTCGAAGAGTACCAAGTGTGTGCTGTCACCGTTGGTGTTGTGGGTGATATTTGCAGGGCATTGGAGGAAAAAATTGTTCCTTACTGTGATGGGATTATGACACAGCTTCTCAAGAATTTATCGAGCAACCAGTTGTATCGTTCTGTCAAGCCTCCCATATTTTCATGCTTTGGGGACATTGCATTGGCAGTAGGAGAGTATTTTGAAAAGTACTTAATGTGGGCCATGTCTGCTCTTCAGAGAGCAGCAGAGTTGTCTACCCATGCAGCAGGCGGTGATGAATTTACAGAGTACATAAATTCCCTGAGAAATGGAATTCTGGAGGCATATTCTGGGATTTTCCAAGGGTTCAAGAACTCTCCAAAAACCCAGCTTTTGATTCCCTATGCTCCTCACATCCTCCAGTTCTTGGATGGCATATACGTGGAGAAAGACATGTTAGTTCTACTAAAAGATACTCTTTTAGCTTTTATTCTGTTGAATGGCTTGTCTTTTGATGTGTGGTCTTTAACATTTTCTTATGTTACTTAATTGCCTTTAGGGACGATGTGGTTATGAAGACTGCCATTGGAGTCCTTGGAGATCTAGCTGATACATTGGGAAGTCCTGCTGGTTCTCTGATAAAGCAATCTCTCTCAAGCAAAGACTTTTTAAATGAATGCTTGTCTTCAGAAGACCATATGATTAAAGAATCTGCTGAATGGGCCAAGTTGGCCATTAGTCGTGCCATTTCTGTTTGAGAGTTTTGCCATTCAGCATGTTTATTTTCTTTTGGAAGTCCATGCATTTGGGTGTGTTGAGTTGAGGGTCTGGGATTGCACGTGTCAAGCCATTGTCATTGTCAAGACAACAGAAGTTATGTGTCTTCAAGTTGTCACTAACTCTTGCATCATCATCATCATGGGGTCGTATTGCATTTATTTTTTGTAACGGAGGAAGTGGTTTGGGATTGTTTAAGAGAATTTGGTGGTGTCTCCATGAGATTGGGGGGAGTGAGTATCATTTGGTCCTGAAGGGTTGAAGTCAGGAGGGATCGGCAAGTGTGACGTGCTGGCGTGACTAACTAGTCAGGTAGCTTGGTCACTTGCTGTTAAGACAAACATCATTTTTGCCTTGGTGTGCTTTTTTCCAAGTAAATTTAGTTGTTGGAATGGATGAGTGAGGATCTGGTTCACAGTGCTGCAGCACTTCAAGACATCTCAAGTGCTGCGTTTCACCATATTCTTCCATCACCTAGTTTTGGTTCCAAGTGTTCGTGGCCCCCTTCTTTTTTGTAGTTAAAGTAATGCATATTTCTTTAAGTATACATCAGTGGCTGGGTTGCATTTAATCTCCGCTGTTTATATAAATATATATATATATATATATATGTACTTGGGGTCGTGGGTTAACCACATGCTGCATTCTATTGGGAGCATTCGACTATTGTGGTTCCTTTTTTTCCTTTTTTTTTTTTTTTTGTATAATTTCAATTGTTACCAACATCAGGAGTCGATTGTTCAAGTATCATGCATTCATAAATTATCCGATTTGCGTTTCCTTTGGGTATACCTTCTTTTTTTTCTTTTGTTCTTTTTTTTTTTTTTTTTACTTTGTCGTTGTTTTTGCTTCATAGTTAAGATTGTATAAATTATATTTTTGGGTCGTCGCTGCTTATAGAAGGTGACTATTAAATCAAAATTTGGGCTAAAATTAAAAGGGATGAATATCCTGTTCTGCCTCATTATGAATTGGAATTAAATGCTTGATTTGTGCGATTGCCTATTTTCTTCAGTTTTCTTCACTAGACTTCGAATTGCGACCATCCTCTCTCCTAACTCCTCTTTTCTCTCTTTGTCGTCACTTTCATCTTTCCCTCCTCAAAATTTCAAAAAAAAAAAATATATATATATATAAAGGTAAAAAATAATCTTAATTTTATTTCGAAATGTATTAGTCCACGAACTAGAAGTTATTCAAAAAAATTTTAAAAAATTTTATATATCTATAATTAAATAGAATGACACATTAATTGATATGGTGCCTGTAATATCTTATTAATTATTTTTTGAAATTTAGAGATTAAAAGAGTATGTAGATTAAAATTTGGAGATCATTAATATAATTTACCTTAGAATTTTTTAAAATTTGTCTATAGTTAATGAAAATCTGTCTTAATAATGGCATTACGAGGAATTATCAACTAGAATTTGCGCATATATAAAGAAGAAAAAAGTTGAGAACCATAAATGGATTATCCGTATAAAACATAACCACTTCATAGTACTGGTTCTGCTAAAGTAGCCTGCTTTACTAAAGTCTTTGGACCGTCCGATCACGATGACTTAAAAGGACTTTGATAATGTCAACCTAATTTCAAATAAAGCAATCTTAACCATTAAGCAAATCCTAATCACCAAGTTTCCCCATCCATGATTAAAATAAGCTTTAAGAGCGGGCCCAATTATACATTTTATTGAATACTAGCCAATAGAATTCACATTAATTAATTAATATAAGATTTTTATTAGGAAGTGTCCTCGGGGTTAAAGGTCTCTCTCAAGGGGCGACTGATTCCACCATCACCCTTTAGCATTCTGCATTCGTCTTCGTAGGAAGCCACGTCATTACATATTTTCAATTTATTATTACAATTTGCATAATCCTATGGTCTCACGCTATCTGAAACAACAGAAATTGATTGATGACCCGAGTCAAAAGCAAATAAACCATATTTCATTTCATTCTGCTAATTGGGGCTAAAAAGGACATAATGGTAAAATCAAAGATAATATTTTTTAAATATTACCAAAAAAAGTTCTAATGTCACGATATTTATAAAATTTAATTACAAAAAAGTACCAATAATTAATATAACATATTCTTTTAGTATAATAAAATAAAATTTTCTTGGATTACATAAAATTAGTTATACTTCGAATAATATAATTTAAGGGTAAATGATTGTCTATTTTTTCTTTATTCATTTTTGTATAATAGGCATGTTTTAATGTTATACATATTTTTTTGAGTAAAATTATAAAAATATATATATGTAAAGAGTATTTATTTAATAATTTATATATAATTTTTTTATTCAAATAATAAAATTTGCATATTTTATTTTTCAATTAAAAAATAAAATTACAAAAATATTTTAAATAAAAATAAATTTAATAATTTAAAATATAACACAATAATACAAAATAAATTAATATGAAAAATGATATAACTTAAAATTTTAATAATAATTATATATATTTAATAAAATTAAAATTTTATATTTTATATTATCGTATCGATATAAATTATAAACATAATATTTATTTAAAATATAATAAATATATAAATGGTAAAAACTAAAAAAAATTATATGATATTTAAATGTAAATATAATAAAAATTAACCATATCAATTGAGATAAAAATAATCATGAAAAAAAAAGACAGATTATTTTGTTTTAATTCAAAAGATCTCGAAAAAGAAAGGACAATAGTTCTACATTTTGAGAGGGATGGCATTCAAATGTTAATATATAGCATGAAGGGTGTTTTAGCCATTTCGTAACTTTTAGGATGGGACTCGATAGTACGCTAGCCTTCCACCGTACGATAAAGAAGGAGTTTACCTGGTTCTTAGACTGCAAGTTTTAAGTTCGAAAAGTGAGTGAGCGTGGCTTGTTATATGTTAAGAGTGTTGAAAGACGAAAGTTAAAGCAACTGCCGCCAGCATTCTCATGCTCTCAATATATTAAAAATGTGAAAGTTATCATTTTCTTTGTCTAATTATTATATAATATAAAATATTTTTATAAATAAGCATTTAGTCAATTTTTGCAAAGTCATTTAAAAAAATCAAAAACTAAATTCAAAAAATATATATTGTTCAATTTTTTATGATTTTTTGAATTGGGAGATAAGATTTAAACCCAACTCTTTTGAATAAAAATATATATATTAATTAATGAACCAAATATTTGGATATAATTTTTTCGTAATATTAATAAATTATATTTTTAATTAAAATTTAATTTAAAATATATCAAAAAAATTATAAGTATTAAAAAAATACTCATATTCTCTGACTTCTTTTTGAAGTTAATTAAATTATTATTCTAAAAAATTATTTTTATCAAAATTTCATAAAAATTTTAAAAAATATCTTTAAGGCTTTTTTAAGCAGCATCTAGGGCAACTATTAACATTTCATTTTAAAAAATAATTTAAAATATAGATTTGTATAAATTATATGAGAGTAGCTTCAGATCCGCGCTTTCTTCTTCGTCTATCCTTCGTTGTTCTTCCTTTTCCTGTTTCATTTTCTCTCTCCAATTATTAGGGTCTTATTCAGCCGCTCTTCTTTTAATTTTAAGGTTATAGTCGAATTCCCCTCTGAAAGTTTCTTTTTTTTTTTTTTTGCAATTAGGGTTTTGGATAGTGTTTTTGGGTATTCGTTATTGAATGCATTGATCCGCTCCTTCCTTCTTTTATATATATATATATATATATTCATAGGGTTCTGTTTGTTTGTTGTACTAAATAGAGTTTTAGATTTTTTTTTTGGAAGATTTGAATGATCGAATTTCTATGTGTTTATTGAATTGAATTTAAATCTAATTTGATCTGGATTTTCTTTGATTTACTTGTCGAATTTAAATTTTTAAGTTTTTAACGTCGAATTGGCAGAATTGATCCCGAATATTTAAGTGTTTCTCTCAGCTGCTATGTATGTAAGTAGGGAATACTATAGGGTTCTCATGGACCGATTTTGATTCATTCACTGCATATTGGTTTTATTCTTATCGTCACTGTTGTTTAGTCTTTTTCAACAAATTTTAAGGGAACAGTTTTATCGGATGTTTTTCTCATTACGCAGTTTTTTTTTTTACATTTTATTTGTCTTCAAGATTGAGATATTGGAATATTTACACAATCTGTCTCTGAATTTCTGTGGATCTAATTGATTAAATTGTTGATGCTTTCAGAAACAGTATGGCAATGGAAGTTACAGAGGTGCTTTTGAATGCACAATCAATAGATGCAGCTTTGCGGAAGAATTCTGAAGAAAGCTTGAAACAGTTTCAGGAGCAGAACCTTCCTGGTTTCTTGCTGTCACTTTCTGGAGAATTGGCAAATGAGGAGAAGCCTGTTGAAACACGTAAATTAGCAGGTTTGATACTTAAGAATGTGTTGGATGCTAAGGAACAGCATAGGAAGTTTGAGCTTGTTCAAAGATGGTTGTCATTGGACGGCAATGCAAAGAGACAGATTAAGGCATGCTTACTGAAGACTCTGTCTTCTCCAGTATCTGATGCTCGTTCAACTGCATCTCAAGTCATTGCCAAGGTTGCTGGCATTGAGTTGCCACAGAAACAGTGGCCTGAGTTGATAGGTTCACTTTTATCAAATGTTCATCAGCTACCGGTTCAAGCCAAGCAGGCCACTTTGGAAACTCTTGGGTATTTGTGTGAGGAGGTCTCCCCTGATGTTATTGATCAAGATCAAGTAAATAAAATACTTACAGCTGTAGTTCAAGGTATGAGTGCATCAGAAGGAAACGCTGATGTGAGGCTTGTTGCAACAAGAGCACTTTTCAATGCTCTGGGATTTGCACAGGCAAATTTCAGCAATGATATGGAGCGTGATTATATCATGAGAGTTGTCTGTGAGGCAACCCTGTCCCCAGAAGTGAGCATAAGGCTGGCAGCTTTCGAGTGTTTGGTCTCTATTTCATCAACTTATTATGAGAAACTATCTCCTTATATCCAGGATATTTTTAGCATCACAGCAAAGGCTGTGAGGGAAGACGAGGAACCTGTTGCCCTTCAAGCCATTGAGTTCTGGAGTTCCATATGTGACGAGGAGATAGATATTTTGGAAGAATATGGAGGTGATTTCATTGGGGACTCTGATATTCCTTGTTTTTACTTTATCAAGAAGGCACTCCCTGCCCTTGTCCTTATGTTGTTGGAGACTCTGTTGAAGCAGGAGGAGGATCAGGTTCAGGATGATGGGGCTTGGAATATTGCAATGGCTGGGGGAACCTGTCTTGGTTTGGTTGCACAGACTGTGGGAGATGATATTGTCCCTCTTGTTGTACCATTTATTGAGGAGAATATAACAAAGCCTGAATGGAGGCAGAGGGAGGGGGCAATTTATGCCTTTGGTTCAATCTTGGAGGGCCCTTCTCCTGAAAAGTTAATACCTCTTGTGAATATTGCCCTAACCTTCATGCTCAGTGCTTTGACAAATGACCCCAATAGCCACGTCAAAGACACTACAGCCTGGACTCTTGGACGAATCTTTGAATTCCTTCATGGTTCAGCTGTGGATTCTCCCATCATCACTCTGGCAAATTGCCAACAGATAGTCACAGTATTGCTACAAAGTATGAAGGACACTCCAAATGTTGCTGAGAAGACTTGTGGTGCTCTCTATTTTCTTGCTCAAGGTTATGAGGAGATGGGTACTTCATCTCCTTTAACTCCTTTTTTCCAGGAAATAGTCCAGTCCCTTCTCACTGTCACTCACCGAGAAGATGCTGGGGAATCCCGGCTGAGGACAGCCGCCTATGAGACATTGAATGAAGTGGTGAGGTGTTCAACCGACGAGACAGCTCCATTGGTGTTGCAATTGGTGCCTGTCATAATGATGGAGCTTCATAACACTCTCGAAGGGCAGAAACTATTATCTGATGAAAGGGAGAAGCAGAGTGAATTGCAAGGCCTTCTTTGTGGGTGTTTACAGGTCATTATTCAGAAGCTTGGTTCATCAGAACCAACCAAGTATGTTTTCATGCAGTATGCAGATAAGATAATGGAACTTTTCCTTAGGGTTTTTGCTTGTAGGAGTGCTACTGTACAGGAGGAGGCCATGCTTGCAATTGGAGCTCTTGCTTATGCAACTGGAGCAGATTTTGCAAAATACATGCCAGATTTTTTTATGTACTTGGAAATTGGTCTTCGGAATTTTGAAGAGTACCAAGTCTGTGCTGTTACAGTTGGTGTTGTGGGTGATATTTGCAGGGCATTGGAGGAAAGTATTGCGCCTTACTGTGATGGGATTATGACACAGCTTCTCAAGAATTTATCAAGCAACCAGTTGCATCGCTCTGTGAAGCCTCCCATATTTTCATGCTTTGGTGACACTGCATTGGCAGTGGGAGAGTATTTTGAAAAGTATTTAGTGTGGGCCATGTCTGCACTTCAGAGCGCAGCAGAGTTGTCCACCCATATGACAGGTGACGATGAATTGATAGAGTACACAAATTCCCTCAGAAACGGAATTCTGGAGGCATATTCTGGGATTTTCCAAGGGTTTAAGAACTCTCCCAAAACCCAGCTCTTGATTCCCTATGCTCCTCATATCCTCCAGTTTTTGGATGGCATATACATGGAGAAAGACATGTGAGTTGTTCTAAAAGTTACTCTTTTAAGCTTTTACTCTACCACATCATGACGTGTGGTTAATAACACTTTTTTATATTTCTTATTTTCCTATAGGGATGATGTGGTCATGAAGACTGCCATTGGAGTCCTTGGAGATCTAGCTGATACGTTGGGAAGTGATGCTGGTTCTCTGATACAGCAATCTGTCTCAAGCAAAGACTTTTTGAATGAATGCTTGTCTTCAGAAGACCTAATGATTAAAGAATCTGCTGAATGGACCAAGTTGGCCATTAGTCGTGCCATTTCTGTATGAGGGTTTTGCCATTCAGCATGTTTATATTCTTTTGGAAGTCCATGCATTTGCGTGTGTTGAGTTGAGGGTATTGGATTACATGTGTCAAGTCATTGCCATTGTCAGACAATGGTAATTATTGGTCTTCAAGTTGTCACTAACTATTGCGTCAGCGTTATAGGGTCAGATTTCAATTTTTATCGTGGAGAAAGTGGATGAGATGGTTTCAGAGAAGTTGATGAACACCTCCATAAAATTTGGGAAGGCATATATTTTGTGCCTGAAGGATTGAAGTAGTGGAGGGATCAGTAGTTGTGACATGTGGGGGTGACTGACCAGTCAGATAGCATGGTCACTTGCTGCTTGTACGCTGCCATTGTGTCAAGACAAGCATCATTTTTGGCATAGTGTGGTTTTCTCGAGGTAAATTTAGGTTGTTGGAATGGATAATTGAGGATCTGGTTCAAAGAGCTGCAGCGCTTCAAGACATCTTGAGTGCTGCGAATCTTAATTGTCCTTCCTTCTCCTAGTTTTGGTACCCCCTTCTTTTTAGCAGCTCAAGTGTGCATAATTCTCAAGTAAACATCGGTGTTTGGGTTGCATTTAATCACATCTCCACCTTATGTATCTTTGGTTATCGCCGGGGGGGGGGGGGGGGGTGGGTGTTACCACATAGTGCATGCTACTTGGAGTATTCCATACAGCATTGCAGTGTTGTTCTTTTTTTTTTTTTAATTTCAAATTTGTTAGTAAGTGGGGAGTCAGTTGTTCAAATATCATGCATTCATAGAATCTTTAACTTTGAGTGTACAATTTTTTTTCCCGTTGCTTCAGATTGTTCAATTGTATTTTTGGTTATCATTGCTTGTGGAAATTTCTGAGTGCATTATAGAAGCCTCAGTAGCAGAATCCGGGGCATACAATTTCATTGTGTTTTAAATCCTGGGTGTACAATTTTTTTTTTCCCTTTTTTTCATGCATTCATAGGATTAACTTCTTGTCCTTTGTGTGTTCCTCGTACTCAACTCTCAACATAAATTAAAAAATGGCTGAAAATAGAAGCCTAGTTTCCTGCAGAAAGTTTCTCTATTGTGGATATGGCTTTTTGTCCATCCCACATTAACAGTGTCTTTATTACCGGCGAAAGAGAAAGAGGGTGGAAGAAGAACTATTTTTTTCTCACTCTTAAAAGTCTGAGAAATATTCTACCTATCCAAGAAAAGAGAAGATATTGTTAAAATGATTCCGTTGACTTTTATAATTAAGAAATAACATTTCAAAGGTTTAAAATTTAAATTTTAATATCTATAATTTTTTTTATCTTTATATTATGTTTATAAAAAAAGAAGAGTCAAAAAGATATCCGTATTAAGGATATTAAGCACCAATCCTTCAGAACTTTGAATCTTACACACTGAATAAGTTAGTTATACTGATGAATGAAATGTATGCTCTCACATTGCACAAATTGCTTGATCCTTTATACCACCATGACTCCCATTCTTCTTAGTTGTCGCATCCAAACATGGAGTTAGGGCTTTAGTGGAAAAAAACAAAGATGGCGTTGGCAGGTTGTGCCTTTGAAGGTGGTTCAGAGAATGTGCGGTGACCTGCTGTGATATGACTGCCACCATTCATATCAAACAAATCAAGGCCGACGGATCGGACGAAATTGATGAGTTTTCTAAATTTTGTTCTTTTTTTGGTAATAAATCCTTCCGTCTCATCTGATGCCAACTGCCTTTCATGGCCGTACAATACAATGAAAAACTAAATTATTGGATAATGGAGAAAACATTACTAATTTAAAATGTGATGTATCTTATATTGGATAAAAAATTTTAATTATTAATGAATAAAATTAATTTTTTATTAATTTTATTTATATTTTAAATAATTATGTTTGAATATAAATAATTATCATATGACAAATGATTATAATTATTTGAATATAAATATATTATTATTCATAAAAATCGTGATTATACAGAAGATTATAACCATCTGAATAAAAGTTTATGTATGTTTATTCATTATAAATAAATTTTTCAATATAACTATTTTCACTACTTTTGATTGAAAAGTTTGATAATTTATTGTATCTTAAAGGTATAATTACCTTTAAAAAAGTGATCTTCATGCGTCAAAGCCAAAATTCTTTTTTATTATTTCATTTCTCTTATTTATTTTTCTAATAATTTAAAGACAATTATGAGAAATTTATTTTTTGGATAAGAAAAGATACAAAGAAAATAAATTAGCATGATTTGGATATCAATATCAGATAAGGCTCAAGGTGTGAAAAGGTTAATGCTTCTATGGACCAAAATGTTAATTTTCATAAAAATCTTCATTAAAGGTATGCATTTTATTTTCATTAACTAAAATTTGACCAACAATTTGGGCTAATTAGATGATTAATTAAAAGAAAAGACATGTTATTAAAAAAAAATATTGAAGTATTTGTCGATTACTAGCATTTTGAATAACGCTCATCAATATCTAAATTAGTCATGTTTATAAATTAGAAAAGAACATGCAAATTTAATGTTCCAAAAGCACCAATGCATGCATATATTTAATTCCATTTTGTGATGGCATGAAGAATATTGGTATAATTTACCATATATTATGAAAATGAAATGAATGGGATAGAATTTTCTTTCTTACATGTTAAGAAAGATATAGACTATAAAGATAGAATGCTATCATCAAATTAATATATTATTGGTTAAAGACAATAAAAACATTTTTGCTTATTGTACCATGAAAAATGACTTTTTACAAGCTGTTAAAATAAAAAGTAAACAAGTTTTTGAAGTTTTCAATAATTTCATGACAATGGCAAAGATATGACCGGTTATACACCAAATTAACATATGGACTTAGATAATAATATTGGTTTGTGAAAGCCCTAAGCCTTGGAGTTAGCCAATCAATAATTTAACTAATGCAAATTCATCATGAGTTTTTGCATGAAATGAGTAGAACTCATATTATAATTATTATTTATACTATTTTATAAAAATGATTCTTTGATTCATATATCATGATTTACGTTAATATGGTGATCTAGATATGAATATATTGATCACAAAATGATTGTGAAAATATTTGAAATTGGAGTTAAATATATTATGTGGACTCTTATTGTATACAGGCATATTTGTCCTATAAGTAAAGTTTGAATTTATTATATATCCAAAAATGTTATGACCAATTAAAAGTGGTAAATAATAAATATATATAGACTACACAATGGTAGAGAAATAAAGTTCTCATAAAATTTTGAAATCAGGTTTAGAAGCTTCAATAATCATGAATTTAGAATTAGCCATTAGGCAATTACTATATGCATTGAAAACTCATGATAACATTTAAGGTAGTTGGTTTTCACTAAAAGCTATCACTATAAATGAGATGACTTAAATAGCCAAATCTACATGATTTGCAAGTATGATGTAGATTATTATAGTTGGCTTAGAATAGCCATAAGCCAAAATTGATGCCACAATCTTGATCAAATTATGGTAATTTTTTGTTATGTATATGACCTAATTCATGGATTGTACAAATGATTTATCATCTATGGTTTTACATAATGAAAATTTCAAAGTATATTTACTTTGGAAGCCATGAGTGATTCAAAGATCTTATGAATTTAAAAACTTTTATAATAGCAAAAAGAATGCTATTTGATCCATTTGGATGATGAAAATAGTTTTGTTCATGGTAATAAAAAAATTATTAATAGTGTCCATGATGAAATAGATTCATATAAATATTTATGAATTAACATAAAAGTCTTAAAAAGAGACTATAAAAGCATGATTATATTTAAAATCAGTTTATTGATGTAAACTCTTATATTGAGTTAAAATATAAAAATTTTGAAATTTTTATTGAAATATTAAGATATCAACTAGTTATCTTTCACTAAGGGTGGATTTGAAAGTCTCTTACTTAAAAAAAAAATCACCAAATAGTGAAAAGATAAAAGAAATTGAAACTTGATTAAGTATATATGATATCTTGACAATTGAATGAGATATTCTTTAATAAAAGAATACATACTTGCATATGATGGGGGTGATAAAAATCAAAAGAAATAAAAATTGCCACCATAGTGTTGTAAGATTTCACTATAATTTTATAAGCAAATTATACAAGCTAATAAGTTTAGACACTTATCAAAGTAAAATCATAAAAAATCTTTAAAAAACTAAAATGATTTGGTTTGTTCATTAAATTTATCTATTTGTACTAGAAGTATAATTATATTAAAGATGTACAAAAGTATGAAAATAGAATTGTTGAAATTTATGAGTATAGAGTTGTGGCCATAACTAAAACCAACTATTTTTTAAAATGATAAGAACTAGGCAATAATGTCCGAAGCATATAAATGATATGCAAAATTAAAAGTTCAGACATATTAACATGAAATGATTATATTAGAGATTCAATCTCAAGTGAGGGTAATTACTATAAAAAAAATTGAATTCCAAGATATTTGGTTAGTAGTACTACAAGTAGAATGGATTTAAAACCTTACTATTGACACCAATAATGGGAACCCAACTTTGAATTAGTAACCTCTAATTACAAAGTTTAATGGGTAAAAACCAGGTATTGTTATATGTCTATTAAACACTAGTAAAATCCATTCAAAATTTAGACACTAATGTGATCCATTGAGTAGGGAGAATGAGTTTTTATACTTTTAATGGAGTTTTAAATACCTAAAGTAATTTAGACAAAATGAAAACTTTATTTATATAAACATAGAAGTGGTACTGCTTTAGCAAGAAGAATTAAGGTTTCTCTTATAAATGTTTATAAATAAGATAAGTACATAACCATAATAGTACTAAAAGCGGTTATAAACCTTTAATGGAAGAATAAATAAGTATTATGTATGTTATATCTTCAATTCTAACACTAAGAGTTGAGGTTTAATTTGCAGACACCATCAACTTTATTAAAATTCTAAGATATATATGCTAATTGAATGTTTAAATTGAAAGATACTTTCTTATATTCATAATATTTATTTGTGTAAAAGGTAAAAATTAAGCATCAACATTTCAAACTAGTGGGGGATTGTTGGTAATTTAGAATGTAGTGATTCCCACATTAAATAGAAAGATTTAATTATTGATGAATAAAATTAATTTTTTTATTAATTTTATTCATATATTAAATAATTATGTTTAAACAGAAACAATTATTATATGACAAATGGTGATAACTATTTGAATATAAATAAATTATTATTCATAAAGGTTATAATTATACAAAAAGTTATAACTATCTGAATAGAAATTTATATCGGTTCATTCATTATAAATAAATCTTTTAATATAATCATTTTCACTATTTTTTATTGAAAAGTTTAAAGCTTTATTATATCCTAAAAGGTATAATTGCTTTTAAGAAAGTGATCTTCACATCTCAAAGCCAAAATTTTCTTTTATTATTTCTCTTCTCTTATTTATTTTTTTTAACAAAAAAAAATCAGAGAAAAAAAGAATAAAAGAAAAGAAGGAAATTTTCCATTGTAAGCATCCAAAATGAATAGCACATGTCACTTTGAGCAGTAGTACTCTTGAAGTGACTTCAACAATTCCTGTCATTGTTCAACCATTTGGTATATAAAACTTAACATCCACCATTTATCAATATCATCAGCTTGGCTTGCCTCAATTATATGCAAAAATTCCCCTATTTTTCACACCAATGTTAAAATCCCACAATTTGCAGAATTTTAAGATTAAATGTCTGTAGCTTCTAAGAACAAAAAACATGTTACAAACATTATGTTTGTGCATGTTTTGTGAGTAGAAATGTTTTACATATATTAAATAGACTTAAATGCAATTATGTTTACATGTATGGGCAATTATTTTATTACCTCTGGACAACTCAAGACTGTTGGTGAAACTGGCTCTTTTGCATATTCATCAGTCAATGGCCTTTGTTGTTTTATATGGTCTCCTTAAAGATGATTAATTGAACTTTTTTAAAATTGTAATTAATAATTAAATTAAAATTAGTGTTGGGAGTTCATAGTGTTGTGTTGTCCCCTTCTTTTTTTGATAGTGCTCCCGCTAATGGCTCTGGCCAAAATTCAACACATTAAATGCTTTCTATTTGATTTCATCTGTAGGCCACTAACCTGTTTGTCTCCATCTTAATTGCCTTGGAAAGTGATGAAAGCCGAAACATGATGATCAAAGGTACTGTTCAACAAAGTGGTGTTCGGTACCACGGATAAAGAAATCTAGGAGAAGAGATTTAAGAGCCACTGATTCATGAAAATAATGAAGTCCACATAAATTTGATGAAATTTAAACCTGCAATTTCTCCGCTCAGTAATAATAAATAGGTGAAAAGAAATATCATAGTCCAATTTTTTAAAGATAATATTTGATTTTGACAGTAATTTTGTCAATTTTTTTTTTCATGAATGATGAGTGTGGAATGTTAAATTTGCAGCACTAAAACGGTGTTAGAATGCTCAAGTACTGTTAGTAACATTTATATACGTAGGGTTTTTTTTTTTTTTTGGGGGGGGGGGGGGGTGGAGGTTTAATTTAATTATTAATAATAGATAGTGCAAATGTGGAGAGAAGAAATAGAAAAGTGGACTGCCTTATGATGAAAGAGGGTGACAAATACGACCTCAGAAAAGCCAACCTGAAAATGGGGTATAGAGTTTGAGCCATGCAAAGGACTGTTCTGTTTTGTTCAACATGCATAAACTTTTAGAATTGCTTTTGGTTTTTTTTTTTTTTTTTTTGTTGATGTAACAATATATAAAAACAGGGCAGTTGACTTTGGGGAATTGTGGGCAAAACAAGGGGTAATGCACCTCATCATCATCATCATTCTGTTGCTAATGGGTGGGGTGTGCACCATTACAACAGCTGGCTATAATTATATCTCACTGCAACATAATTTCCTACCTCAACACCACCAGTATAAAAACACACCTTCCCCTCCCCAATCTTCCCCTCTTCCAGTGAAGTCATTGTGCTGATCATCACATCCTCCTCTCCTGCTATCAATTAGACAGATCAAAACATCAGGCAGCCATGGCAGCTCTTCGGTTCAAGACTTTTCTTCTGGTGTCTTTACTCCTCCTCCTCATCACGCCTTTCTCTCATGGTAACTAAAATGAGACTCTAATCAAAGTGTACACTGATCTCTCTCTCTCTCTCTCTCTCTCTCTCTCTCTCTCTCTCTCTCTCTCTATATATATATATATATATATATATACATACTTACTAAATCACTGATCAGAGTAGTTGTTGTTGGCAGGCATGGTTGAGGGTGGCATGCAGGCCAAATACTCATCACTTGAACGGGTATACTCCGCATTAATCCCTCTCATGAGCTTTGAAAATATATGAAAAAATGCAGATAATTAATGTACGTATAAAATAATGTTATTTATTCCAAAATGTTGTTGATTTTGATTAATTATTCTTATGTAGGGTGGGAAAGGGATGATCCAAATGAGATCATCAAGGAAGCTGCTGATGGGTGCAATGCTGGATTACGATGATACAGGCGCTAACCCTAAGCACGACCCCAGGAAAAAACCTGGCAAGCCCTGATCATATAATTACTATTTTTATCTAGAAAGAAATTAAGAATGGTTCTCTCTGTCTTTTCAGAGGTTTTGATCATCTAGTATTACAAAGGGCATAATGTTATGGTGTTGTTAAATGAGATTTTATTTAGAGAGTAATACCAATATATTTATTTACTATTAAACCCTACTCAGTGGTACGTACGTAGTCTATTATGATTAAATTAAGCTCTTAAACTATTGTGTTATCGCAATACATTGTTATTGTATCCCCAATGTGAAATTTATGTTTGTGTTGCAATAATTATATATTAAGAATAAATAATGAAGTCTTCTGCTACTTTTTTATTATTATTATTATTATTATGCAGTAGCTATAGTAATTTAATTAGTTTATAAGATATATTGAACCCAAGACAAGAGAACAAATGAAAAGTGAGAAACATTGATTTCATTCCAATATCTAATTACTTGATATCAAGAATTTCTGGATCTTGCATTTGAACTAAATTTCGAATTTTAATTTCAAATTAAAAAAAAAAAAAAAACAAAAACAAAAAAGGCTTTTGGATATTGTGCATTTCCTGATACGGTGAAAGTAGATAAACAAATAAATTAAGGACATGATGAGAAGTATTGATTTCTAACTTAACCTAATTATCACTTACCAAGAGATGTAATTCCATCTATGCTTTAGATGTTTCTCCCTATTAATAATAATCACACGTTCAACTGCCTGGCTAACTGAATTTCAGAAATTGGAGTCAACAATATTTTTTATTTTTTTAACCTTTTAGATTCCATTATTCTTTGAAAAATTAAAGAAAAAGCATATAACTAGAGCGCCTGCCTCACCCTTATCTCACTCACATTTCTTTTGTCTGATCTGGTTGCCGTATAATTAAGAATATATATATATATATATATAGCTGATAACACTGAGAAAACTTGAGAATGGAAGGAAGCATTCCTCTCACATTTTACCTTCTTTCTAATGTATGATAATTGATAAAACAACTTTTATCAGTTCAAACAGAAATCAAAAGGTGGCAGAAAAATATGTTGGGAATAAACGCAAAACGGTTGATTTCTATGCTATTAAGGCACTAGTACTAGTGTTTTCCACAGCATCAACATTCAGTATATACTACTGAATTTCAAAAACCCAATACAGAGAAACAAAGTTAACTGAACATTCTAAATTACTAAAACTTGCCTACATCTATTTAATTACCAAAAGTGCTAGCCATATACAATTTCATTATACTGACAATGTGAAATCTCTGTTGATCTATATACAACTCATCACTCAAAATCAAAAAGAAACCTGAGATGACAACCATATTCCAAGTGACACGATCCCAACTGTAGCTATGGCTTGGCCAAATTCATACATAAAATTTTGTTGCTCAAGTGGCAAACTCTGCCAGTCAGTATGCCTGTGCGACGGTCCAACCAAGCCAAGACAAAGTCAAGAGGCAGTATCATCTTTTCTAATAGGAATTATGTATAATAAACCAAAGATGATCAGATGCAATTGAGAGCTAAGACAAGCAGGGACCCGTAGAATTTCTTGCTTAAGAATCATTTCCTTGTGTTTCCTATTTTGTTTCTATTAATGCAGAAAAGGAAATAAAGATGTCATTGAACTCAAGGTATTACGAAGAAATAAATTAATAATAGAAGGATAAAAATAGAAAAGAATGTGCACATAAAGAAATAAGGTTGCAATAAAGGACATATCCAATGGCAAGAAACTGTTCTTTCTATTTTTGAAGATCACATAGGAATTTGAGTTAGAGTGCTCATGTCATTTCAGCTAGTGGCTGCAGTAAGCTTTGAAGGGGGGAAAGTATTGATAATTGTTGATTTAAGACTAATATCACTGTATAGCTAAACGTTATTTTAGTTTTATAAGGGGAAAAAAAAAAAAAAAGGCTAAGCATTAGTTTTGTGAGAGAGGTTGGTTCAAATAATCTGTCAGCTCAGTTTAAACTCTACAGTATAACAGCAATATACTTGGAGAAACAGCTGCTTACCCTAAATCAGCAATGATAATGCTGATGTTGTCTTGTGAGCCTTGATTCTGCATTTTGTGATATGATTCTAAGGTTACCAGAACTTGTTCAGAAACATATAAAGTAACATGAATTGAAAGAAACAAATACTCCTGCAATTGATTACCAGAGCAGCTTCTGCAAGTGCATCGCATGCTAGCTGAATTGGGAAAAAGGGGAAAGTTATAACTAAACCAAGGTAAGAATATCATCTGAAAGCTTACATATCTGATAAGAACTAGAAGATATGACATTGTTATTTTTGGTGATATTTGGTACAATGTAAACGTCACCTGAACATCTCCATGTTCTCGTAGTTGATTTCTTACAAAAGCAACCGCATCTAAGCTGAAAGAAGAAAATAGTAGCTATGTCAGAGTAACATCCTTCTCTCAATTGAACTTACAGCAAACTAATAAAAAAGAGACTTCATGTACAACAGCAAGAGTTAAAAGCATATATAGCTTTGAAAACCTGTTTATGTAATCCCATAAACCATCAGATGCTAACAGGACAAATTCTGCATCTGACCCCAGAGTTACTATAAAAGTGTCTGGAGATGCAATGACCAAGTCTCCATTGAACACTACTCTGAAATAAAACAAAAGTTGATGGCTAAACGATCTTGTAAGTTTGAAACAGGTTTGAAATAAATCAAACAGCTATCTGATTAGTGCTAATTAAGGAAAAACCACTTGAGCCAGATGTCACTCTAATTAAACTAACTTGTAAAGCATAACCAAGCCTCAATGAACTAACATCAAAAGGGGGAAGATGAAACTAAGAAAGGATCCATAGAAGATATACCGAGAAATAAATTTTTCAGACCATCTCCTTTCTTCAACTCCCTTCTTCAGCATTCTGAGCAAACAATCCCAAACCATTATTAGGATGTACAAATACAATGTACAGAACATATATACAAACAATCATGAAAAAAAAACTTTAAATTGAAGGCAAGGAAAGAACAGAACTCATTCTTTTTTGTCTTGAACCGAGCATCACCAAAAGAACGGGATACAGCTATGTCACCACAAATCCTTCCATTGACAATCTATATATGGACGTTACATGAAAAAGATTATGATCAGAGCCATGTAATGAGAGTACCAAACTTGTCTGAGGGAGTTTCTGGTTAAGTCTTGATACAGTTAAAGAAACAAGAACTCTCATTGGAACTAGAAAGGATCAGTATTCCAGAAAGGAAACCATCAAGAACAGAAAAAACACACCCATCCACCTGCTTCTCTGATTCTTCTGATTTCTTGCAAAGAGGCCTTGCTGCTCCCATAGGGTCGATGAGAATCAGTCAACACTTCTACTTTTCCAGAACGAGATAGAACCTGCATCAATGTATCAGCTGAGAAAAGAATGAAAAAGTGATACAACCCCCACTAAAGAATAAAGGGGTTCTTCTGTTATGTCTTACACGGTAATTCCCAAAATGCTACCATTATACAGGAAACTAAACAAGTTTAGTCTTAATGATTCTAATGTAAAAACAGCTTTAATTAGAAAACTGAAACAGGAATAGGCATCCATACCACACTGGAATCACCAACATGAGAAATGAAGAGTACTTCATTTCCAATTAACATAACAGTAGCGGTTGAACCAGATTCATCTTCGTCGCCTTCTCCAATCGTTTCAAGCCTTTACAAAATGAAACACCAGCTAATCCTTCAACCAATAATATACAAAAATCTACAATCATATTAAGACTAAAAAATTAAATTTTAAAAAGAAGCAGTGTTTGTCAGTTCTAAAGCATCTATTTTTCCTTACCAATTTAGCAACTTTTTATCAGCATTTTCAAAAGCTATCATTAAAGCCTTCTTAATAGCGTTGAAATCTCCTCCGTTCAACAGAATTCCGTCTTGTAAAGCTGTAACACACTCTTTATACAGCTCATCCCTGCTTTAACCCAAAACATCTCAAATTATCTATATTGGTTAATAAAATCACAATACAAAATGCAAAAGAAATAAATATTTAGAAATAATTAGCAAGTAATTACTAACTATCGCACCTCAGGAACTTGACGGAAGATACGCCACCATGACCATCAAAGACAGCGGCGAACGAGAATCCATCAAGGCCGTCCGATCGTATGACCAAGTCGTCCTCCATCTCCTCGCGAGTGCCCTGCACGCTGGTGGACCCCCAACGGATCCCCGCGACGTCCGTTAGCGAAGAAGGAGCGCCGATTGCGATCGCGGAGCAACGGCAGGGGCTTCTGGCTCTTACGGCCGTTGTGGTTAGGTGGTTCCTGTTGGCGGTCTTGGCATTGGAGGTGAAATTGAACTCGGTAGCAAGGAATCGCTGAAACTGTGGACTCGCTAACACCATTGCTTTTGGTCGACTCAGTGAGTTGAACCGCTGAGTCAAAGGAATGAGTTGGAGTATGAGAGGATGAGAATCTCCTCTGTGACTGTGGTGGTTTTTGGCGAGAAGATAAGAGAGTGAAGTTAAGCCTCTAACTGATTTAACGGATTGTATTCGCGTGGCTGGGATCCTCTACGGATTTTCCCACTACACTTTTAAGCGAGTATTCTGCGGTTTATATTTTGCCACGTCAGTTTGAATCTCTAGCTTTTTCTCAACTATGCTGAAGATTTTCAGATACTAGAATTATTTCCCAATTATTTTAAAATATAATTTTAATATTTTTTTTATATAAAAAACTTATAAGCATATTTTCTGAATATTTTAAACTTAAATTATATAAATTTTTTTTACATTTTATTAGCAAATTAACATGGAAAATACAAGAAAATTTTATTTAAAAATATATATTATTAATGAATATGTTGAGAGTTTGAAAATTATCATATTTTTTTATTCATGATAGCAATCACTCAATGTTATTAATATGCATAATTTTGTTTTACATTTTGTTTATTTTACATGTATATAATATATATATATGTTATTTATAATTAATATTAAAATTATTTTGAAGTTTGAGAGACTACCATATATGTTTTCTATTCATGCCACAATTTATTAATCACTAAATTTCTAATCATTTATTTATTTATTTACATATATATATGTTATTTATGATTAATTTTAAAATTATTTATCATATCTTACAGTATTCAATACTGGATTCTCAAAAATAAAATTTCGTATCTCGATTTTAACATCTCATGACACTAGATGGATATTATAGATTACTAGAAAACCAAGCAAGATGAAATTTGAAACTGGCATTGATAAATGCAGAAGGCAAGTTTGTGGCAAAGAAAAATCTTGAACAGCAAAGTCAACTGCAGTATTTCTTCATTGCAGGAAAGACCACTTAGTCAAGAGTTCCTGATGTTACATTTACAATGACCCAATCGTTTTGTACTTACATGACAGGGAACACAACCTCCTTACACTCCAGAATCATACATAATCTGGCCAATCAGATTCTGTAGATAGAGAAAAATTTTAACAGCACTGTCCCCATACATACGGCTTCCAATTCTACCCTCACTTACTACCAGTAGCTTAAGGTCCATCTTCTTGTGCTGAATCAAAAACAGAAAGACCCAGGTGAGAGACTAGTTCTACAAGAATAAGGTGAAGGAACAGTCATACGAGGTAGGCACAAACATACTGATATAAACAGACTTACTGCTTAAAATAAAGCCTTGAAGCAAGCTCTGGGCTCTCTCTGATTGCTCTGGAGTACCTGATATTTGAATGATCTTTTGTGTGTCGTCTGGTCTATCTTCTACCAGAGTCACATTGGCACCAGACAACTGTACCCAAGAGACGAATTATTGTAAATTAGATTGAAACAAAGTAAACATAAATTTAATACCTAGTTGGAAAGCAGTGTTGCTTACCTCACTGATCTGTGCCAGTTTGTTTTTTGATTTTGTTATCAGCTTGGGAACTGCATGCTCTGGTATAACAACTTCAAGTGTACTCCTCGTAACAAGTGGTACAGGGATTCTAACAGAAAATTACAAGCAAGAGAGGCATTATTTATCAGAATATCACAAGGGTCCTCTAAAATACAAGTAAAATATTCAGAGAACCTTTTTTTTTTTTTAAATAGAAAAAATTTTAAAAACAACACTTAACAACAAAAAGACATAGAGATTGTGATGCAACCTTCATTATAAAAAAAAGAACAAATAAGAGTGAAATAATGCAAAACTTAGCCACCTGGTAATTGCACTTGGTACATCTTCACGGCGTTCACTTTCAGTCTGCTTCACCACTTCAGTGCCAGAGTTCATAACTTCCTATAAATAAGAATTAACTTCTTATGATCATGTATAATGCAGAAGAAGGCCAAGAAACTATCAGGATAAGTCACTAGTTTTTCTTTTAGTTGGAAATAAGTAAAGGTGTACATGGACCGGATCATGTGGGTTTAGATCATGCATAGGCAAGATATAAGCACTATACATGCTTGCTCAAGCCCGACAATTCGGGCTTCAAATTCTGCCAGGCCCACCCAATTTGTAAATGATACAGCCCAACCTTGCCTAGATTATTATTTTTCTACTAAAAAAATAAAAACACGTCATTTTTTTATTTAATCTTTAAAAATTTTACCTTTTCTTTTATTAAATTTTGAAACACAAATAACATAATTTCTAATGTTTCCAATGCAAATATAACATATATTTGTCCTTTATATGATATAAATTACATAATACATAAAAATAATAGATATTATATAATTACAAAAAGGGCTGGCCAATGCAAATATAATATATATTTCCAAGCCAAGGACCGTGTCTCATTTCAGGCTTTATATTTTTGCCCAAGCTCTTCCAAATATTGGGCAGACCTTAAGGCTTAAGTGGGTAGGCCAGCCCTTGAACAGGTCTAGAGATAAGTCACTAGTTATATATTACATTCTAGATATTCACCTTGAGCACAACTAAGAGCAGTTAAAGATTTTCATCCTAAGAAGCTAAAGAAATACTTGTGATATTTAAGTTTGGAGAACAATTTTTTTATTGTTTGACTATGTAAGCAACACAGAAAAACAAATACCAACAATAAAGCAGTAAAAGGAAACTCGAAATAAACAGAAAAGCAGCTAAGAACAACCTTTGATAACAATGGTGTTGCTGAAGTTTGCACATTCTGATAGGCTACAACAGAAGGATCATTGGCAGTTTGACTATCATGAGCTGGAGTTAAGTTTGGAGAAGCATTCTCCGGTCCTGAAACACTCCCAACGGATGCAGTTGCAGAGAAAGGTGGTGGTGGTGGAGTGTCCTTTTGAGAGAATTCCCTATATAAGTAACTTCGTATTCGGGATGTGATCTCAACAAGAGCATCTCGAGCTGCCTTTATCTCCCCCACAATCTGTAGAGCATCAAAATGCTATTCAGATACAAGGTGAATCAATCCAATCATCCCACCCTCGTTTATTAAACTTAGCAGACCCCAGGTTTGAACCCTTCCAACCTGGATTGAATAGACACCAAGAAGCTAAGATCTCCATGCTTCATAAGAATAAGGTATCTAAGCAACAAACCTGTATAATCTCATCAGGTCCTGATACACAAGAAGGCAGTTCTTCTCTTGACAAGATCTGTATGTTTGCACCAGTTAATCTTTTCATTTCAGATAATGATCCATCTCTTCCCTCTAAACATCCAATTTCACTTGATGGAACAAGTAACCGAGTAGTTATGATGTTATCTTTATCAGGAACAAGGTTAACAATCCGAGTTTGGATATGCAATAAAGCCTCCTGGGCTGGAAACAACTCATCATCAGGACCCTAAGGACAAAACAAAAACCAAAGATATGTTAGAAACCTCTATAACTCTGTATCATTGAAAATTCAGAAGGAATGAACAATTTGTTTTTTAAATGTCTTTCAAGTGTTTAAACATTTAAATGACAAGATTTAATTTGAAAGGCTAAAGTTAGATGGGATTTATCACACATACACACACACACCAAAAAAAAAAAGGGAAAAACACTGACAAACAAGAGAAAAAGAACTCTATAGGCCAAAAAAACAAATATCCACCCATATAGCCATGTGTCATCAAACAAAAATAGAGAGATGGTAAGTACCTCCTCAGAAGAAATGGTGATTATCTGCTCATCTGACCCAGCCACAGGATCAGCAACCTTGACATCCACACCAATTTCATTTTGAAGTAAATCTACTATACCATCTGGATCTCCAAAAACACTATCAATGTTGTCAATAGGGCAAAGTATTCGAAACACAAGATCCTCAGCATAAACAGGCTGCACACTGTCAGCCATAGGAGCAGTCCCAGCTTCAATGAAGCCAGATGAACGTGAGGAATAATTATTGCCTCTGTAATTTGCAGTAGACATTCGTGAACCAAAAGTCAACCCATCCACAGATGATCGACGTGATGCATTGTTTATGTGAGGCATATAATCATCATCAAGGAAAAAACGCTCTGGTGAATGCATACGTCCATGGAAATGATTGCGATCACGATGCTGACTCTCCCTTAAACGTGATGAAATAATCACTATAGCATTTTTTACAGCATTTACATCACCCATAACCTGCACGACAATAAAATTACCATATCATAAAGCCATTTGAACTCTATGATCTTCCACCAGAGGGAAATATTCAAGTTCAAACTGAACATGCAAAAATAGATGTTAAACCAAAAAATATTCTAGAATACTCATTTTTTGTAGCAAAGCCACTCCTAATATATAGCACCATCAGAAGCATTATTCTTTGCAACGCAGCATGAACAGTTGGACACTACTTAAGATACATGGATCTGAACAATCCAACTTTTTTTACACATTTGCAGCCTCAGCTGCATAGAATACCTAGATTCAGACTGCTTTGTCAGCAATCCCAGATATATTCTTCAGAAGCAAAATGGCATAAAGTATCAATGATCATAATAGTTACATAGCATTCATATGAATAATTGACAGTCTACCATTTGCAAAGAATAGTTGTAGAACCGCTGGGATAAAATAAAAAGAACTTCTATCTGATAACAATGGTACATTCAAATAACACAGATGCATGATGCTGAGCATGTCAACATAAAACATTACATGCAAACATGATACCTTTCAAATACATGAAATATTCCATCAGTGAACCATTATTAGAGGAAAAACTACATTACACACACATTTCTACTGCTCAAGAACCCAAGTATCTACAAAGCATAAAGTAGATAAAAATTGCGCCATGCATGAAGCAAAAACTTGAAGAAAATTGAAAACAATACATATTGACCAAAATTCATAAGCAATGCAATCATAACAGCGCAAAGAGTGAAAATCCCATGTAGTTGAAGTTATTGTTATTGAAACAGTATACCAGTTAATATATGTCAAGTAAATCCATAATAAAACCTTATGAAGATCTTAAGCCTATTTAGTTCAAAAGCAGAGTAGAAGAAAGAATAGGTGTTTGTTTCATCAAAGAGTAAATTGTTTAAAATTTAGAAATAGGTTCATCAAGCAGCAGTTAAACCACTGCCAATGGCATATACTAGTAATTAGCTTCTTAATATATATAGTCATCCAGGTTTCTCTAAGGGGAAAAGCAATGCAAGTAGACCACACTAGTAACTCCTATAATCCACGGGTAGCATTGATTCAAACCAAGATTTTGGATTCAGCTCAATAATCCCAAATTACAAAATGAAACCCCTTAATCAATATATAAACATTTAACCGTCCAATCATTTCCATTTAGCCATTGCATTTAAACATATCAAATATTAAAAACCGCATGCATTAGTATTTAGTAACTTCCCATTTGTGCATTAAATCCAAATCCAAATGCAATTGGTTGCAGACCTGAACAATCTCCTCAGACATGGAAACGCAACGGGGAAGCGTATGGTCTCTAGGTAGAATCCTAATCTGAGTCTTTGTTTCAATTCTCATTTGCTCAATAATCTTCCCTCCTTTCCCCAATAAACACCCCACATGCATCCTCGAAACCACCAACCTCGTCGCCACCCTATTCCCTCCTCCTCTTACCACCCCTCCGTAATCCTCCTCCTCCTCTCCTCCGCCACTACCAAAGCTAAACTGCGAATCACTCTCGAGAATCCTCTCATGTATAAGGAACAATGCCTCCTGAGCAGGCGAAAACGACGGCATTCTCCCTTCAGGGTCACGGCGGCGCGTATCTGATATCTCGATGATTCGTTCTTCGTCGCTGGGAATCAGCTCGTGGACGTTGATCCACGCGCCTGTATGCTGCCTTATGGACTTGATAATGCTACCGGACTTGCCGATTACGCCCCCGGCTTTCATGTCGTGGCAGAGAATGCGGTAGCTCGTGGTGACCATAAGCGAAGGATCTTGTCCTCCGCCGCCGCTACCGCCTTTATTCGGAGGCCGGCCGTTGTTGGCGTTGTTGTTGTTGTTGGGATTGTTGCCGCGGTGGCGATGACTATTGGGTAGGTAGTGATGGCTGTTGAACCGAGGTTTTGTTCTACCCATGGTCTCTCCATCATAGTCTTGGTCGTAGTAATAGTTCCTCTTAGATCTAGATCTCTCCATCTAAAAACACTACTCAAACTTTTCTTTAAGGTTTTCAAAATTAAAAAAGATTTCAGTTTGTTTGTTTTGTCAATGCTATGGATGATGCTGACGATGATGGTTCTGCTCCTTGTCATGGATCGGGTCTAGGGTTTTTGAGAGTAGAAAGCTTTGCTCTTACGCTGTTTTTGTCTGTCTGACATTCCTTTCAGTTCGTTCTGTTTATTTCTCGGGAAAATTTTTGAGAAAATGTATGTGTTTATTTCACTGGAGATGGGATATCCGAAATGAGGTGTGAAAGCTGTTAGCAAAGTCATGCGAAGGATTTTGGCCCTCCTTCCAAGATACTTTTTACTTTTTTTATGGGCAAATATATAAACGACTGCCACTTCGAGTAATGTACATAGGTCAGCAACGACGTCGTTTGGAGATTCTAGCCCTTTTTGAAAAAGAAAAACAAAAAAAGAAAAGAAAAGTTACTGAATCCAATCAAAACTAATCGCTGGAGTCCAAATTTAAAGGCCCATATTATTTGTTGATTTATTATGGGCTCAGTCTCAGCCTCAGGCCAGTTCGTTAGAAGCTAGGGGCAGTCTACTGTAAAAAAATTTTATTGGGAAGTGTAAATATTTATTGTGCTTTGTGCAGCTTTTAATGGAAAATATTATTTTTTACGTTGTATTTGAAATTAGAAAAATGAATTTAAAAATATTGATATTTTAATTTTAGATATGTTTAATGTTACTTTTTAAATATTTAAATTTTCAATCTCATTACACTTGTCATTATTTCATCACTTTTATCCCATTATATTTCTGGCTTCTTGAAATCAACTAACTTACTTAATTTTATTATTCAATAATTATATGTCTAGTCTCAAGCAATACAAATATTTTAGTTCATTCCTGGCAGTTGCAAGGATTTTAGTATACCAAAGAAGGATTGTGGCTTAACCCAAACTTTTCATGGAAATAATCATAGCAAAGCTCAGCTGCTGGAAGCACTACGTCATTCTCGGACACCAGCAAGAGAAGCATAGAAAGGCATATAATGAACAAGGAGCACATCATCGGAGTCTTTTTCGGACAGGCTCCAACTGCCCCTGTTTCAACTCTTTTTTTTCCAGCCGCATTACCTTGGCTCCCACACACAGGCATGAAGATGAACGCAAAGTTGTAAAGCAAAAGCACAAATCACTGAACTATGGGGCCGGTAGATCGACGGGATTTGATTATTGCTGGAGCTGGATTACCCCTTGATTGGACCATGGGGTGGTTGGTTGATAGCAAAAGCACAAATCACTGAACTATGGGGCCGGTAGATCGACGGGATTTGATTATTGCTGGAGCTGGATTACCCCTTGATTGGACCATGGGGTGGTTGGTTGATGACATCTACCAAACTAAACTACTCATTTAGTTTTGACCACATATATCACTTCTCACTTTCACAATCGAACGCGATTGAGATCGGTATATGCTTGACTAGAAATTTATCTATGCCGTACAACTACATTAGAGTAAAAAATTTTAATTCAATTAATTTTAAAAATTTATATCAATAATTTTAAATTTTAAATTTAAATGTTTATTATACATCTTTTATTATCTAACTATCGTCACTTATTTAAAAACAAAAAAAATTGACCAATCGATCCACTCCCTTCACTGAAGATTTTTATAAAAATCAAACCATTAATTCGACGTTAAGCCAAAAGAACACCATAGTCTTGAATAATGATTATAATACCTTGCTTATATGTATGAATTTATGAACTGCTTATATTTGATATTATCTTGTTAGGACAATCGATTCACATATTATTCTAATGGTAATAGAGAGTATTGTTGTCATGACTCTATCATTTGGAGAGCCCGAAACTGAAACAGTTAGTTACCAGAACCTTGATACTGCTATCTGCTATTATGTAGAATGGTATTAGAATTACCAAAGCTTATTACAACCAAAACCCTTTACCAAAAAAAGTAAAAAAGTGCTCATGAGTTCATGCTAAAAGAATGCATTGATTAACATTGGAACATACTCTTTTGGAGTTTGATATTTTGGTTTTATAAGGCTTTTTATGGATCTAGTAAGGGAAGTGAAAGAATTTGAGAAAGCTATTAGGAATTTACAAGAGGAAGAACTATTTGTTGGATTTTCTTTTCTTTTATAATATAATCTACTTTATAAAGGAATTTTAACTTAGAAGAAGAAGAAAAAGTTTTAAGTATAAGGGAAGGAGGGGAGGACAAACTAAAAGAAGATCTAGACGTGAATGATTGAGAACAATAACTATTTGATAAATTCATAAAAATAAAACTCTCTTTTGGCTTTTTTATCCAACTCTATAGTCAAGAAACAAAACAAAATTTCATCCTTCTGTTTGGAGTTGCACTCTGATACCATTTTTGCACAACGATAGATAGTAGCGCCAAGGTTATGATAACTGACGGCTTCAGTTCTGAGCTCTCGATGTGGTAGAGACATGACAACAATACTATCTATTACCATTACAACAGCATGCGGATCAGTTACCTTAACAAGATAATACCAAATATAAGCAGTCATATATTCAAATATATAACCAAGGTATTCTAATCGGTGTTCAAGACTCTAGCGTCCTTTTGGCTTAATATCGAATTAGTGACCTGACTTTTATGAAGATATGTCTTTTACTACAGTAACTTATTTTAGTAAGATCTTGGTATAATGCTACAAGACTTTCTAATACAGAGGATCTACAATATTATGGTAACTGCAGAGCATATTTAACTTATATTATTGTAAACCATGAAATAAAAAAATATATTATAATCTAAAGTTAACTATTAAAAAAGGAAGAATGAATTATCAAAAGAGAAGAGTTTTAGCCAAGCATATTTTATAAGAGAGGATATTTTTTACAAAACTTCTTGAAAAAGTTTTTTTATATTCTTTTTGAAAGAAGGAGCATATAATTTATACAAAAAAAAAGTAAATAAATAGTAATCTAACAGGACTCGCTCATAATTAAAAGTCATAATTAAAGTGATTGACTTGACATAAAAGAACTTTAATAAAGTTACTTTAACAAAGTGGTTTTAAAAAAGTAAACATAAAATTGACATAAAGTAAAGTTGATTAAAAGTTGACATAAAATTGATGTAAAGTCTGATGAGATGTCAACATCAATTTTAGAATCTTATGAAGGAAAACTAAAAATCATCATCACACATCCATTTAATCTCTTGAAATATATCATGAATACTCTTTCATTGACCCCTTTAAATTTCCTTACCCATTTTGTTTCTCAAATCCCTTGAAATATATCCTGAATACTCTTTCATTGACCCCTTTAAATTCTCTTACCCACTTTATTTCAAAAAAAAAAAATTTATTTTATGTAATATCTTTGTCACATTTACTACATTATTATATAATTTTCACTCTCAAAGATCAAAATACTATTTCACCTTTTTCAACAGTTCATTATCAACCCAAAAAGATATTAGATAGACTCCAATCATCAATACTTCAAAAATTTTTTTCAATGGTTCAAACTCATTTCTATTTGGATCAAATGGATAGAAATCTATAAGAAATACACAAAAACCTTTATTGATCCTCACATTATCTTGATTTTTCACAAATCATACTATTATTTAATAGATTGCCCTCAATATTTTTCATATATAACAAAAACCTTTATTGATCCTCACATTATCTTGATTTTTCACAAATCATACTATTATTTAATAGATTGCCCTCAATATTTTTCATATATAACAAAAACCTTTATTGATCCTCACATTATCTTGATTTTTCACAAATCATACTATTATTTAATAGATTGCCCTCAATATTTTTCATATATAACAATTTATAGCTCATAAAATTATTCATTATTCAATTCTTTTTTTAATCACCTTGCTAAATATTTAAAATTTTAAAAACAGCATCACCGACGTAAAGAAGAGATAAGTTAATAACATAATTTTAAATTCTGTATGCATTTAGTTTGAAGATGTTTTTACGAGAATTTGTAAAAAAATTATTTTCCCATGTGCTTATATCGACTGTGACCAACTAAGCGCCAACCAACCATCCTACGTGGCAAACACCACTGATCATCTACCACGTGTCGAAACCCCACCGCCCATCCCCTATAAGTATGCATCGTCGTTTCTCATCTTTCCATTCTCTTCCATTCTATTCTGGAGCAGTGGAATTTTCAATAATCGCTGATATATCGAAACAAAGAAAAGCCAAAAATTATATTCTCCCCACCATATTCTCTCCGCAGAGCATAAATTCTCAATCCACTCCATAAAAACGATGCCGTTCTGCGAGGTGGGGAAAACGCGGAGCGACGTCGACGCAGCACTAAACAATGGGATCCAGATTTTTCATCGGACTTATGGTCACGGCGCCACTAAAGTTCTCCTCATCATAGGTCGCTTGCTTTATTATTCATTTTTTCCATCAGATTTATTTTTCATTTTATATTATTGATTATATATATTTTTGGGTGGCTGATATTGTGGCGAATGAATGGTCAGGATTGGCGGGGACACACGACTCATGGGGCCCACAAATCAAGGGACTGACCGGAACCGACATGCCCAACGACGATGAAACCATGGCGGTTGATCGGGAATCCGGCGGAGGTCACAATGAGGTCGGTGGCATCGAGGTTTGTGCCTTTGATAATCGTGGGATGGGTCGGAGCTCCATTCCCACCAAAAAATCCGACTATACGTGAGTCCTTTTTTTTTTTTCTTTTTATCTGCTTTGACTTTGAAAAATCCCTCATTTCTTGTTTTTTAGTCCATTAATGTAATTTAATAGTAGTATTATTAGTAGTAGTACTTTTTTTCCTCTTTTTGTGGGTAAACTGCAGTTGTTAATTGTTGAGGTTTTCAATCGAAAAAGCTAGCTTTAAGTATAGGATAATGTAATTTGCTAATATAGAAAGTGACTTAAAAAAACTACCAATTCGAGCTGCGGCAAGATCCATGAAAAACTGATTGTTTTACTTTTGTGGATGTTGAGTGCAGGACAAGAATTATGGCAAAAGATGCAATTGCCTTATTGGATCATCTGGGCTGGAAGAAAGCCCATGTTTTCGGACATTCAATGGGTGAGTGAGTTCGTTGGACTTTTCGTTCAAAAAATGTAATAGGACTAGAAAAACGAAAAAGATTTATCCTTCTATTGTTTGTATAAATGGCAATTGTTCCTCTTTATTTAAGAGAAGAATGCTTATTTTCTTCTAATATAAAGCTTGCTTGAATTCGTTATATGAAAGCAGGAGCTATGATTGCTTGTAAGATGGCGGCAATGGTTCCTGATAGAATTCTTTCTTTGGCATTACTTAATGTAACAGGGGGAGGTTTTGAATGTTTCCCAAAGGTATTTTTATCTTCTATTAGTGTTTCAGAGCCGTGGGAGCATTGATGTTTAGTCCTGCTATTAGCAATGTTAGTCATCAACTTGATCAAATGTGTTTATATAATTATATGTATATCCATTATTAGAACGGTCAAGAAACTCTAAAGATAACTGTAGAGATTATGACACACTTGGGAATCTGCTAAAAATTCAAATCAAGGATACAGAGAGGATTTTGCTACTTTTTACGGGCGATTTCTTTTTAGTTTTGAAAATGGAAGCCATACGAATTTAAAAAATCCATGGCTTCTGGTTAAAGTTGATCATAATCTGCTAAGCACTTCCTCTCTGAATTAGGAAGACTCCTTGAACTGCCAAATTTCACCAGATATCACTTCTCCCTGTCATATCTTTGTTGTTGAGAAAGAAGTATAACAGAGACAAAAAGTTAATTCCTGTCATCGGCCAATCTTTTGATTATAGTTCTATTAGTTATGAAGTTCTCATCTTGATATAAAGTTAATTAGCTCTCCTTCTGAAAATGCAGATGCATTGTCATACTTTTGGAAGTTATATTAGCAGGAGATGGTGATTAACTTGTTTTAATGTCTTGCAGCTTGACCGCAAAACAATATCCATTGCAATTCGTTTTTTGAAGGCGAAGACTCCTGAGCAAAGAGCAGCAGTTGACTTAGACACACATTACTCGGAGGTAATGGTGATTACAATATCATTTTTTTTTTTTTTTTGTGAATCTGAGAATGAGGATGATTCTACTGGATGATGACAGTGCTGTTTTATTTAGTTTATGTAACTTCAAAACTAATGATCTGCCATTCCAAATTAAGAGTTTTCCAAGTCAAACAAGGTCAAATTTAATATTTAGTTGAAGCAAAACCAAGGATACAACTTAGTTCTTTTTATGAAAACAAGAGTTAATGTAACTTTTTTATTATTTTTGATGCACAAAGCCAACTCATATAGTCTCATGTTGCCTATGATTACAGGAATATCTTGAGGAGTCTGTTGGATCTAACACTAGAAGAGCAATTTTGTATCAAGTAAGCAATGCTGAAGCTAAAAGTTGTTACTGGTCATTGAATGACAATCAAATTAATCAATTAGACCGGATAAATTTACCCTTGTTCACTGAAATCTAGTGATAAAAAGTTGCTAATATTTGTTTGAGTTGATGGTCTGATTTTCTTGGCAATGGACATGATACTACACCAATTAGATAGGCAATGTATTAGTGAGAAGAAAATGTTTCTGCATGGCATAGCTGCAACTGGCTGTCCTGGTTGCTTTTGATTGAATACTCTCCTAAATATACTCCAACCGACTATTGAAGTTGCAGGAAACCATCATGGTTTTTTCCCATTGAATATGCTGTAAAATATACTCTTCATTGGCTCTATCTCAAGGATGATACAATAACTACATGATTATCTTTCAAAAGTATCCCACTAGGTTGGCTTTTTTATATCACTCCCCTTGTGAAATTATTGTCAAATGTTTGAATAGTCAGATATCTGTTTAGATCTTTAATTGACAGAAGCATTGAGGCGTGTGTTTCAACTCATAAGAAGATATTCCTATGGAGTTGTATGCGACAATAATAATGTTATATACACCCTATATCAACTTTGTAAGATGCTAACTTTAAGATGCTTGCTTGTCCTTGGCAGGAATATGTAAAAGGCATAACAGCAACTGGCATGCAATCTAACTATGGTTTTGATGGTCAAATCAATGCATGTTGGACACATAAAATGACACGAAAAGAAATTGAATTAATTCGTTCGTGTGGATTTCTTGTATCAGTCATTCATGGCAGGTACTATGTCTTCATGACTGAAAATAATTGTTAATCGTGCATACACTTTTGAACTCTCTTAGGACATATCAATCTACAGTAATAACTGAATGTAATACCTTTTGGTGAATTGAGTTTTTAAATTTCATTTACACTTCACATATAAGACAATAATGATTTTTTCTTTTTTCCTACCAGATTGTTTGTGATGAGAAAAAGGAACTAGAACCATCATCTTGACAACCTTTTTATCCTCTATCTTATAGCTAATTATCCATTCGATATTTTGATTCATATTTAATGCTCCTAGTTCATAGAGAGATCAAGTGTGGGAAATTCTTCTTGCAATTTGAATCAGTTTGCTTTCAAGAGTATGTGAAGGTTGGTCTGCAGTGAATGCTAGTGCAACATTAAGGATAAAAGAGGACAGATATACCAATATGAGATTTTTAAAATAAAGAGCACATTCTGAAAGCTTGCTTCTAATCTTAACAGTTCCAATTTGAATTTTGAAATAAGTATTCATTTTTCTTTAGAAAAAGAAAGTTCAAGAAGTAGGCTGCTTTGATACTTGTTGTATACTTGTGCTCAAATTCCTCATTGCTATAGTTTGATAGAAATTTGGTGTATTCTATGTTACAACAATTTACTAATGTCTTTTATGTATCATCATAATTATCTCTTGAGAAATGTATGATACTCTACTAATTTAACGTTCTCTGAATATGTAGGCAAGATGTCATTGCTCAAATAAGTCATGCTAGGAGGCTTGCAGAGAAGCTGCAGCCTGTTGCCAGAATGTTAGAGCTTCATGGGGGGCATCTAGTAAGTCATGAGAGGACAGAAGAGGTAATCCTCTTCAGCTAACTGAAGTCAGCCACTTGATGTAGGCATTATGAATGTTCACCTTGAGAATCTTTCTATGGTGGAAGAGCCTAAAAAGTTTCTTTCAAAAGAAGTTGAGAATATAATTGACTGAATTTGATTGAGAAAGAGTAACAAAAAGTTCATGTTGTGCTTGTAGAATTGTGTACAGAAGGTAATGTTCTGGCATGTGTTAATGATTACTCAATGCACGAGAGTTGAATATTAACTTGACAAAATCGGTGCCCTTCTATCATTAGTAGAAATATATCTGATCATCACTGAGATAACTTTTATAGGTTTTACTTTATTGTATTTGCCTGCGAAAAGAACCTTTATAGACTGGTTATTTACAAATTTTCAGGTTAATCAATCTCTTCTTGACTTGATAAAGGCATCGGAAATGAAGATGAGTCCACATGATTGGAACAACTTCCCCAAGATAAGTTCCGGTAGGTATTCATCTCAAAAGTTCAAGATCTTCTCCTGAATTATGGGATCAGCATAATGACCTTAATGCAGTAAATCATTAATCATCCCCTCTGATACATAAACCAAATGCTTGAATATAAGAATTGCTCTGGATATTTAGTAAGATGATAATGATAGATAAATCTTGTGGTGGTCATTACAGATAAAATAGATTATCCTATCTGATCTTACAGAGATAGCTAGCTACCAGAATTCACTGGAAAGTTACTAAATTCTACTGTTGCTTTTAATGTCTATTGCTCTGTGTCTGGGTGTCTGGTAACAGAAACATCAAGCGGAATAATTGTAGAGGGGGAAACCAACATAATCTTAGGAAAGCTCTACTTCTACCTATTATATCTATTCAGTCTATTTATGATGGCATTAAAGTACGGAAGAAGTGCTCTACAGAGGCTAAAACCAGCAAGAGTTGGAGCTTCCCTAACATAGTCTCCTTTTTTAGCTGGTAAATTCTGAGTTTGTCTTTCCTTGTGTTTGAAAGCAGGTTTAGTGTAGAGTAAACTGAGACTCAACCGCTGGTATCTTCTATTCTTTTTGCAGGTTTCATAAATTTGTCAGCCATTGTGGCACAGCCCCCTTTGATTAGGCTGTTACCTTATTTGTATATTATTGTGAAAACCTAGTAAAAAAAATTAAGAGTAAGAGAAGCAAAATTTGTAAATGAAGGAGATTAACATGACCTAGCTCGAGGCAGATCAGTCCGTGGAGAAGACTAAGTTGGTGGAGGATGCTCTTTCCTGACCTCCCCTTGATTCTATGTACTAGCAAAACATGAAGCTAAGGTGTAGTACATAAATATGACCATAAAAGGTAACACATTTGTTTCCTAAACCAGTAAGTGAGATTGCATATGACAAGTGCGTCCGTCCACTGATAAATTTACCTGCTTCTCTAGATACAGTGTTTTATAGTGCAACTAAATAACTAGAAAGCAAAATGGATTGTTGGGTGCCGCAAAACACAGGTTTATATGCTTATTTAGATCAACTCGATCTGGGCATCTTTATCTTGATATAAACCAGCTAATTCGTAGCTCCAAATCAAATAGAGGATTCACAATAGCTAGTAATAATTTCAGGCAAAGATTGATTTTTGCTTCCTGGTCATTGACTACTTAGATATAAGATCCAACTGTAGCATATATTTACCTCTATTGAGCCATGCAACAGGAAATAGTTAAAACAGTTTCCCGAGAGGAGCAGTTTGAAGACGGTAACACTCACTGAATATAGAACAAGATTATAAAAGAAAAATATGAGGGAAAGAAAGAGAAGGGGCCTGGAAGTTGTTTCCGGTTTGCTAAAACATTGATGCGAGCACGAGCTTTCCTGCTTCAAAGCCAATATGAGGGAAAGGGGACAGAAAATAGAGGAAAGGAAGATAGATTCTAATAATATGCGAAAATATATACCTTATACCTGGAATATCATAACATGCTTGGACCACCCTTTTTTTATTCAAATTCTTAGCCTCGGGCCCAAAAAAAAAGAAGAATTACTACTTAGGGTAGTATTGCCAAAAGAAGTGGGCTGTAAGATCAACCAAATGGGCCTTCAGCTGTCTGCATCAACTGCTAATCTCCTTTCTTCCTTCTTTGACATAAGCCATAAACCCTATCGATTCTCTCAATTCTTTATCAAATTTTTTTTTTTAATCCATGCTTTGATAATTTTTTTATCCATTGAGAAGGAAGAGGAAGTGGAAGTGAAGATTGTGGGATTCGACCTCCGATGTTACATAATTTTTTAAAAAATTTTCTTAATTATTTATGAAGAGAATAGAAGGTTACAATATATAGGACATGATGAAATAATTGAAACTATTGTTAGATGGAACTTCAAATGGTAAAAATTAATTCAATCGGAGATACAAACTTCAAAAAGAGTGCGATCAGTATCGCATACAATGTCAACAATGATATACATCGTTGCAGGCAAACTGTGAAACACACCATAGCAAAGTATAAAAAGCTCGCGTGCTGAAAATATGATAGTAATCCTAATACACAATTATATCTTACACTGGAATTTGTTTTTATAGAAAGAAAAAATAGCCAAGGAAAAAAGGTAACCGACAAAAATAGTAATAATAATAATAATAACAATAAAGGAGTGCAAGTCCAGAGTGTTTCCTTTCTTGACTCCCCCATTTTTTCTTTGCCTCTTATCAGTGGCCATTTGTTGGCCCTCTCTTTTATCAATTTTCTTTTCTCAGTACTCATCCAAATAAGTATATAGCATCTCATCTTTCTTCGATTTGCGACGACTAAGCAATGCTTTGAGGAGTCTTTTACTTTTGCTTGGATACCGTTCAATCTCTTTGGGGCTGTCTTTCTCAGATTGTAAACGCATTGAAGCTGATTTCCGAGGCTCTGACGGATACTGACAATAATAAGCAAAATAAAAGTTAGAAAATAAACAAGGATAAACAACAAGAATGAATTACTCATAAGCATCATGAACACAGCATCCATCGTTTTTAACACTTACGTTTTTGGACCAAAATTAAAATAAAATAAAAAGTGCAGCAATGCTTCAATGACAGACTAGACTAGCTAGCTGCTATTCCTCTAGTTTTATGATGAACATATTTTAGTTAATGGCCATGCATTTTCCGCTAACTACTTTGCATATGAATTTAACTATTCTATGCTCACCCGCTGCCTTGCACCAGCTGAATTTGGAGTAGTCGGCCTGCTCTTATTTGGGGTTGTAGGCCTGCTAGTGCTAACAGATCCAGAACGTAAAAGTGGAAACCGATGTGGTGATACAGTTCGCTTCTCTGATTATGCATATAAATATCAGCAGCGAGTGAACAATCTCAAAAGTACCAAGACGACAAAAGAAAAGCAGCATACAACCGTAGTTCCAACATATAAATAAGGTCAAATACGCATTCCAACCTAGTTCTTTCTTGGGCATAGTGGCAATAAAGGAAAAGGTGGCAGATCGCTGTGGAGGCCGTGGTGAAGGTGAGGGAGAATACCCTTTTCTGCAACAATCATTACTGGAATTAGTATTGGTGCGCCTAACTACACAATTAACCATGGTTTACCAATTGCAATGCGCTAGAATTATATAACTTTAACCTTTACCTGACTGAAGATGTTGGGGTTTGCCTGACAGAAGATGTTGGGCTTTCTCTAATTGTAGCTCGTACAGCTTACAGGAATCGTCACAAAGCAGGATCGAGTTACATTAGAATCTTGTCCAACATATAAGAAATGATACAAAAGGATAGACAGAGCAACTACCATTCCTAAACTGATGCCAGTCATCTTCATCGTCTAGGCTGCATCCTAGGTATTTTGACTTTGTAAGGTTTGCACCATGCATGGTCTCCCCAACTGAAAATAAATTAAAGACGTTGAAAACAACCAAATATCCTTATCCCTATAACTGCTAAGAAGTGGGAAAAAGACAAATTAGAAGGGTAATTGCCTGGCAAGATGTACCGTTTATGGTACTTTGGTGTATTAATCACCAGCGACTGTTGGGAAATTCCTTCGTGATCAATATACTCTTGGCATGTCCGTAGTCTCTATATTGCCACATTTAAGTAGAGAAAATTTCACTACCTTGTAAATTATCCTCTGTTTAAAGCATAGGAACAGGTGGTGTTTTGACTAGAGTGAAATCATCCATGCATAATTCCCCATGCTTTTGGTCATTATAAGTAAAATATAAAAGAGGTTCTGTTTCTGGGATAATTTCTCTCTATGAGCAAACTCCAATAGCAACCAGCAAGAAGAAAGAATTTTACTGTCGGTGTTTGATTTCTTTTTTCACGATTCCAATCTTGTCAACAATTTCAACATTCAAATTTAAAATAGATCAGCAAATCATTTCCTTTATAGTTTCTATATAAAGCATTTCCAGTAGAGAAACCTACAAAATCTTGATTAGAAAATTGGTTAGAATTGTAGTTAGCTCAATATGTGATGAAAATAATCCAGCCTTACCTGTTCAATGCAAGATACCCGGAGCTCTGTTCCAGAAACCTCATCAACCTTTTCATCCAAAAGATCATTAACCTTGTATGTCACAGAACCCAAATGATCTACAGTGTTCACAAGAGCTTTGATGGCATAATCTTTCAATGTTTCTACCACTCTGCATATACATGAGGATCTTTCTTCTTAAGGAAAAATAGGAGAGAATGAAAGTAAATAAACTCCAATACCAACAATTGAAGGTATGAACCATAAGGAATCGAAGTAACTCACATCTGCTTTTGGTCATCATTGGTGTAGGATAACTCAAAATACTCAGCTGCTGAGTAGAGCTGTGTTCTCAGATTTTTCAAATCCTGAAATAAAGAAACTGTGTCATAAAACCACTATGCAGAAAGCCAACTGCACTTAAAATTAAGCCAAGACTTAACAAAACAATGAAAAATAAATACATTATCTAGCAGTATAAAGTGCCAAATAGGTGCACGTTCACACTTGACTCACATGGATGGGGACTTAGTGACCTTGAGAAACATCCACCACTTGAAATCTTAAGACTAAAATCACCCAAATTTGGCAGTGATTTAGCCTCAGTTAGTAAAGTAATTCTACCTAATTCAGCATTTAGTAAAGGAATAGAGGAGAGGGAGCAAGAAGGGATTTTGGTTTCAAATTCTGCAACTTTTCACCGATAACTTCAAACATGATTATATTTAATCATGGGATAAATAAAGCTTGAATGCTGGTAATCAGCCTAGGTAAAAGCTGCTGAACCTTCAAAATGCAAAAGCATATAAACTAAAAGTGCCAAGGTTTGATCAGGATATAGAAGAAACGCCAAAAACAAAAATTTAAACTTTAAGGAAGATCCCAAATCCTCAAAGGCCAAAGCCACTTACTTAGAGAGTTAAGAGTCTATCTTGCAAGCCTAAGGGCTAAACACACACAAAATACAAGCACTGTAGTACCTTGAGACTATCAGAGAACAACAAGCTCTGCTGCATAGAAACCTCATCGTAATTAGATGCCTCTCGAGACATGGGCATTGCAGCTGCTGTAGCCATTAAACCCGCAAAGGAGATTAGACCGAGTTTGGCTTAATCTGCATCAACTAAAATAACCAAATTAAATTTCAAGCAAAGGGGAAAAAGGAAGAGCCAAAAAAGTAGTCCATCTAACATCTGACAAATGAAAACTGGAAATCATATGGTATATTATATCCCTAAGCATTCTAAACTGAAGAGACCGAAAAGAATCAACGGCAACAGGTGCTTGTCTTTGCGTCAGTGAAGACAGAGATAGAATCAAAATGAAAACCTCATTGAATCTTGAGAATTTAAAATAAGAACCACAAAGAATCATTAACAATATGACAACAGCAAGCATGAAACTTGTAGACAGAGTGAGACACTTCAAAACTAAGTTACAACTAATAAGATACAAGAAGCAATTATTCCAACCAAACATTACCAAAGCTCTAACCAAGTTAGGGCAATAAAAAAACAAAAAATAAAAGCCAGACAGCACTTTACCAGTTGCTGCACTTCTTCCATTACCCAGAAAGCAAAAAAAATAATAATAAATAAAAATAAAAAATCGACAGATAATAAATTAAAATACTGGAATTAGAACAGCTCCTGCTATACGAAAAAAAGCCCATTTTGTCTGAATCTTCAGCAATACTCTAACTGTATTAAACATTTAAAAAACCCCAAAAGCTGGAAATTTTCCATACCCTTTCTTTATTTGCGGAGACAGCCAAAGAAAAGAAAAGAAAGGAAAAGGAAATTCTTATGTGAATCAGTGTATGTTGAGCTAGTTCTCATAACGTGCAAATGTCATTTCAGTTTAACTAAAGCCAAATTGGCAAATGGCTCTATATCAGGCTCAGCTGGGTAAAACAGGCTGTGGCCTGCAGCCTTGTTGTGTCATCTTCATCCCCTTCTTCTCAGTTTCTCAGAGTGTCAACATTTAAAAACTTGAAGCTAACCGAAATAAAAAGTGGGTTTTATGAGTAAAATTGAAGAGACTAACCTCCTCTTATAAAAGCTTGTTCTTGTCTTTCCACTCGTTGTGAAGCTGAACATGTAAGCCGAGACCCAATTCCCATTTAACCTTAAAAAGTCACCAGCAGTTAAATCAGGCCTAATAGGACATAAACAGGCCTAAATGATTGACGGTGAATGATATAGTTTGGTGTAAAATTTTTTTACTAAACATCAACAGGCGTCTACAGCTTGAGAGCTGCTGCATAAAAGCAGAAACTTGCAGTAGTACAACAGGAAAAGAGAGAAAGAGCGGGATTTGCTTTTGTTGTTTGAAGAACTAGAGACAGAAGCAACAGGCAACAAGGTTAGCACGTCTTCTTTATTTGATTTTGAAGGGCAAAAGCCGGCTCTTTGGGGAATCAAAACCCGGAATGTGTAATCTCAATTTCTCATTATTTGCCATTCCAGTGGGACCGACTTGCCTTGCATTAATGGAGTGTGTATATATATATATATATATATATTTTTTTTTTTTTTTCCTGGTCTGATAGGTCCCATTCTGAACCATAATTACATGACCCGACCAGGCTTTATCACTCCTTTAATCAAAATCTTAATCCTCTTTTATGAGGGGCCTTTGTAATTGGTTAAGCTTGGATTTTTGGAGAATTTTGGCAGAGCCAGCCTAACCGTTTTGATTAGGAAACGTATGCATTCATTTAAAACAGGTACAAATAATTACTCTCCAAATTTTTTTGTTATGTCCCTATTTTGACATTTTTTCAGTAATGAAGTTTGTCCACTAATATTTGATTTGAAGGGTGCTTCCATGACATAAAACAAAGTTCTTTACTTTAGTAGAAAAGAAAAGCTTGCAGCTTTCATTGGGGCAGGTGATGCTCGTTGACTTGCTATCATACCAGGAATGCATCGATGTCCCCTTATTTTCTTTATTAGTTCTCCAAATAGTATGTGGTTTCCCCATTGGCTTTGGGACCCCATTTCTCTCTTTACTAGTCTTTTCCCCACCGATGGTTTAATTTCCAGAGTCCTGATTTAACATATCAACTATCCCATTTTAAAGTAAACTGTGTTGTTGCAAGGCTGCTAACCCCACGCACCTTTGGGTGGACTGGGCACTAATTGCCTCTTCCAATACGGTAAATTCATATGCCCTTAGAAGGCACGCGAGGCTGGTACTGTGCTGCTTTCTTCAATCAATCCTGAAATGGATTCTATGCTTGAATTTTAGCCTTTTTTTTTTTTATGAAAATTTTCAGCCTATTATAAATTCCAATAATGATTTCGTCTTGTTCTAATTCAATAGGATAATTGGCAACAAGGAATGAGGATTAAGATTATGTTTACTGGATTCTCGAAAAAAAAAAAAGGATTATGTTTATTGGAGTGCATAAAAATATTATTATAAGATAAAAAAAATAAAAGGCGTGGCCTTAGAGGCACTCATGGTTTGGTCGTGCATTTGTGAACAACCAATATCCCCAAGACACTGCCAATAATTCTCTGTCTTCACTCTCCTGCACTTCTTAGGCAGATTAGATTGGATTGGAAAAGGAAAGAAAAAAAATACATTTTTCATGTCAAAATTTATATTATAGTATGAACATGCAATGCAAGATAATTTTTTTATAAAAAAAAATTGTAATTTGAAGATAAAAAAAAGATTATAAATTTTAAATTTTAAATTTATTAAATATTATTTTAAAAAATATACTATATAAATCAATTCAATTAAATTTTGATTCCAAACTGCCCTTCGACAGTGTCATCATTCATTTAAAAATATTTTTGCTTTCTTGAACGTGGGAATTGGGAGTGGACTTTGTTTGTTTGAATTTGTGATTCATAGAATCAAAGTGGCTGGGAGTACTTCAATCAAGTTCTGCATTTTTTAAGTAATTAGTGCCGTGATTGGTGGAAATTGGATAGCCCCACTAAACGTAGGAATGATTGTTCCTTTTCTTTTCTTTTTTTTTGTCCCTTTGCTTCTCCTTTCTTATCATCTTTCTGGGAAGTCATTGTTGGGTTGGGTTGGGTTGGTGTCAGAATTCGTTGGGCTAAACCAGCAGCAGGGTTCTGACCGAATCTGTCTTAGGCTTTTTCCAGTGCCCTAGTAGCTTTCAGTCTTTTTGCAATTTAGTTTAGGCCCATGGCAGTGAAAGGCAGAAGTTTAATCATTCAAATTTTACGCAAAATGGGGAGATAAAAGTAATTTACATATGGACCATAAAACAGATAATTCTCCTTCATGTATTAAAATAAGATCGATAAGCAAAATTCACCGGGATGATCTACAGAACAGCCAGTGGTAATGAGAAAATCATGTTTGCCACTGTAACTTACAAGGTTTTTTTTTTTTTTTTAATATCATTGATGGATAGTTACAACTTACAAGCAATAATTGGCCTCATGGAAACAGCCAAAACCGAACCACTATCTCAATTTATGTCGACTTTTAAAGATAAAAATGATGAAGATTAACATCATTGGGGGTGTAAACTCATTAAATTAGTAACTAATTTTCTTGGCCGAACAAATTAGTCACTTATGTCGATTTTTAAATTCAATTAATGCTCTCAACCTCGTTAATAACCTTCCTTGCATTTGTTCTTCTTTCCCACCCTTTAATTTCCTTCAAAAAAAAAAAAAAAAAACCCTTTTAAGCTAGAGTTTTTCTTTTTTTTTTTTTTTAATTTCCACTGGGACATGTACTTCCTTTCACGTAGGACCTAGAATATTTGAAACCAAGTTTACGGAGTTTCTTATAATTAAGCAGGAAATTAAAAGGAAAAAACAATTTATATCTTAAACTTTTGTAAGTTGGTAAATCGAAAAGATATGATGTAATCCTGAAAAAAGGGCTATTAAAAAGAGAGAGAAATGATGATGATAATGATGCAGCCCCCTATTGCTATTGGTGATTTGGTAATTGTTCACTAATAAATGATCACATTTAGTACATCCCATGAAAATTGTGTAACTCATAGACGTGTGCACAAACTCCAATATGTAACAATTCATCCCCTTCTTTCCCTGTTTATATAAAGTTATAAGACATTTTTTTTTATCCTCGCACTCTCTCCTCCTCATCTTTCAATATGGATCCTACCCATTTTGATTTTCTGAAGTTGGAGAATGCACCTGAATTTGACTGCTTCAACTTTGAAGAAAACCCATTTGGAAAGTAAGATGCTTTAATTATGTTCTTTTCATGATTTGCTTCTACAGAACGCTACTATTTATTTTGAACTGATTTCAGGTTTCAATGCTTTATTTTTACTGGTTTTTTTTTCTTTTTCTTTGTGTAGGGTATTGGATTGGCCGCCTTTTGAAGTGGACAGTTTTTACGACTTCGATTCACCTGCATTGCCTTGCCAGACCAATTGCTATATTGAGTTCAACGATTTTGATGATATAAGTGGTGACTTTGCCTTGTTTGATCAGAACAGTACTCTCCCATCACTGAATGAAGATATCATGGTTGACGCAAAGCCACTAAAGACATTGGCTGGTTCTTTCGGGCAGTATTGTGACAATGATACTAATGGTGGGTCAAGTGAAACATTAAGTATGATTCAGAGAGAGTATGGAGATTCAAGCGGACTACGTGGAGAGCAAACTAGTAGGATTAGTGGAAGGAAGAGGACTGCTCCATTGGAATTACATGAGATTCAGAAGTATTTCGATTTACCGATTTCAAAAGCTGCTAAAGAAATGAACGTGGGTCTAACTGTCTTGAAGAAGAGATGCAGGGAACTTAACATCATGAGATGGCCTCATAGGAAGATCAAAAGCTTGAAGTCCCTCATTAAAAATGTCAAGGTACTTCCATGCATATGTTCACAGATGGATAAACTATCATGTCAGAACTCCATGTTTCAATATATCTGCATGGGATGAAGAATTTGATAATTAGTTAAGAAACCTTTGATTTGTTACGCTTGAGATTAGAAATTTGCAGTTATTTGTCTTATTTATTTATGAGGCAGGCTACAGCCTGCATGAATCTAATAAGGTACTGAAATGTGTACTAGGTCCCTAACATGACATGATCAGGATGCAAGCACTAAACACATTTTAATTTTTATATACGACATCATCATAAATTAAACACATGATTATTCATCGGCATTAGAGAGTGATGGTGCCAACGTATCAAACTCTTTTGAGTTTTTGAGTCTTAAGAGTCAAAGGTAACTCTGGTATTGTGTGGCTTTCAATCAGCCATTATATTAACAAATTAATATTCAACTTAGCCCATATGCCTGAGCTTTCTCGCAAGTCTTATCCCTAATTGGATAATCCGAAGATTAGTTTTATCTACAATTATTGTATGGTCATATAAATATATGCGTGCACACTAATAATATCGCATTTTCTTCGAACAAGTGCATGCAATGGGTATTCCATTCTAGATGTGAAGAACTTATTTGTCATTTTTTCTTTATTTTAGGAGCTTGGATTGACTAATGAGATAATGGGGTTGGAAGAGCACAAGAGGATGCTTGAAAAACTGCCAGATTTGGAATTGACTGAGAGAACCAAGAAGCTAAGGCAGGCTTGTTTCAAAGCCAATTACAAGAAAAGAAGGTCCCTGGCCGCTTGTTCTTGAATGCCATGCTGTTCTCTGTTTAATCAGTGCTTATTGTTTTGAATCACAACCATTTGTAGAAAGTAATGATCAAAAATAGTAATTGACCAAATCCTAATTTCTGGGGATATATACAATACATAGAATCCATAATCAATTAGTACTCTCAAAATTTTATATACATGAAAATCCTTAGAGATTTGCCTTGAGACACTGGCTTGATCAACATTATATATATCAGATGGTTGAGAATTGAGACTACAATTTCTATCTCATTTATGAGGAACAGATTGTGAAACCTAGCTACATCCAATGGTCCATGGCTCAATGCCAAATGAACCATCAGATCCTCACACAGGGTGTGAAGCTTAGGGCTCTAAATTATTCCTTATTACTTGAAAGAGAACAATTAAATATTTTCCATTTTATTCCTATATAAAAGTTAAAACTGATCTCTTCTCACAGATGAGGCGGTGGCAATTCGTTCAGGAGTCCTTTTTCTTCATTTTCTCCTGCCCACGTCTCCATGGGACCACTTGCTTAAAGCTTTCATAAATGCTAGCCTGCAGTTACATGTATATATGTTAGTATGACTAGAAGAGTGCAATAAACATAAAAAACGTACATAATTTTCTACCCTGTTAGTACATTTAAAAAGTCAGGGTAGATTTATAAATCTATACATATACAGATATATAATTCTTTTGCCTGTTCCTTTTACTTTGGGGTTGAATGGTTTCTCGTTCGAGCACCAAAACCAAATGCTCATTAATTCAAAAGTAAAACTTCCATAAAATTAAGAAAGTTAAAACGGAAAGTTAGATTTTGATGTATACAAAGTAAGAAGAAAACAGAGAAAACATTTCTTCAGCAGTAGACAGATGATTGAAAAAATCATATGGAAGTCTGGAAACTATAAATTATAAAAGAGAGAGAGAGAGAGAGAGAGAGAGATGATGTGATGAAAATTGTTTTTTCTTATGCCTAAAATTTGTGTAAATGAATAAACAAAGAGATAGCAGCTAATTGGTAGAACGGATCATCAACCAAGAGTTGGTTTCGCAGTACTTACCAAGACATGTGACCTAGCTCGAGAGAGGCTCAATAAGCTCCCTTTCCTCCTAACCCTTGTGATCTTCACCTGCGCACCGCCAGCATCTTCACCCTCAACAACCGGAGTTGAAAAGTCAAAACTTCCCTGAACAACTCGTCCAGCCTTTCTAAAGCTCCCCCACCTACCCGATCCAAACGTAACTTTCCCCTTAATCGCCCTCTTGTTGTCTGGGCTCCTAAAAGATCCGCCTTTTCGAAACGACAAGGTGTAAGACACAAACCGACCGGCATCAGGCCCCTCCAAGACAGTAGTTGGAGATGACAAGCTAGCAACCTTAGCCTCAGCTAACAGCTTTGGAGGCAATTCCAAGCATCTTACAGCGTTTGGCTTGGATTGACTGGTTGTATCAGTATCACTAGTAGGACATGGCCTAGGCTTGCCAGGTGCTTCCTCCCACTGGAATGGAATCGAAACTGAGGTATAGATCGGCGGTGTTATCATGCCAGACGGCTCTTTTGCCTTACAAGGAAATGAATAAAGAGACAGTTTTGGTGTAGGAGTTGTTTCACAATCTGCCTCTAACCCCATTTTTCTTTTTCTCTAAAAAAATGACTGATCATGCAAACGCTTTTTTCACACTGTAAAATAACAGTTCTTTAGATTTATAAAAAAGGGTTTCAAAGTTTATAGATAAAAAGAGAGCGGGTAAAGAAGGTGGCGTTGAATGTGAACTGACAAGGTCACAGCAACAACAACAGCAACAACAACAGCAACGCTCCTGGCGCTTCTTGTTCACGAGAAAATGCCAGGTTTTTTTTTTTTCTTAGCCGTTTGTTATTGCATGTTGAAAAAATCACGAAATGCCCTTGGCTTCAGGAGGGATCCCACCTTTAAAGAAACCATTGAGTTTTGATTGGGTGAAAGTGACAATCAACAGTCTTTGATTAGATTAAGAATTAAGAGCGATCTTTTGAAAAGTCACCTTAGCAGCTGTTAAGTATAACATCCAAATGGTCCAGAAACGCCCCATGATTTATTTATATAATTAATCAAATCATTAATTTATAACTATATGAAATCAGCCGGCATATATTGTAATATTCAAGGCCATTATATTTACATTTTTTGGTTGTTCCCCTATCCACGAAATTGATCGTTCTAGTTATCTTTCTTCCAGGTAATAGGGGATCAATTTTTATGAAATTATCTCTAGGAGAAAAGGACCGATACTTCGTAAAAACTACTCTAGCAAAAATAATACAGGTCGATCCCGATGTGTTCTCATTATCTAATTACATGCAAAAGCTTTGTCCCAGTCAAAATCTCGCCGGATATTTTGAATAGTCTAAACTAATTTTTCCCATAAAAAGAACGAAAGAAAGAGAGAAGATAAGAAGAGGAATTCGGGCATATTGTTGATGTGATGGCGACTTTACTGCATCATAGCATAAATTTTCAAGACTTATCTTACCCAACACAGAATCAAAACTAATGCTAGCTCTGGATTTTGTTCATAAGAAAAAAAATATCATTCTTTGTGAATCGGAATTAATTATAACATAAAAAAATTGAGTGATGAGCTTAATAATTATCATTTAATATATGACTCGAATAAGAAAGTACTATCAGTTTGTGTTAATATTCAATAAGATTTAGAAGGACTTTTAAGTTTATATTTATGTACTGTTAATATTTAAATATTAAATTATATATTATATATATTATTAGAGAATCATATAAAATATATAATAAAAATTAATTTTAAAAAATAAATGTATTTAATCTTAAACTTTTATTTAAAATTAATTCTTTAAATATTTTTGGATGCTAGCTTGATTTATGAAAAATACATTTCAAATTTGATATACAAATACTTTTATATTTAATTAGTTCATTATTGTATGGCTCTATCAGTACTCTCTATATATATATATACACATTATTAATTATTTTAATAAATTATCAAGCAAAGTATATAGGGCCCAATGGATGTCACATCCTGCATAAGTTGTTCAACACCCTTCTCAGGCGGTAGTTAAGGTGGCCATTAGCAGAGCTGATACCGTAAGCAACCAAGAAGTAAAGAAGGGTAGGAGGGTGGACTGTGCTTCTCCAAGTGAGAAAATTAAGGAAGATAAAAGACACCCGCATCTCTTATTTCCTTTTGGGATGGAGATACTATATCTCAGCTATATATATCATCTATATATAGTCCCCTATCAGATACAGCATATAGAATTGTTTTCGCCTGAGACAATCCTTTCCAGGACCACGGTTCCCAAAGGCCAATGAGCCACTCTGTCATCATCCCATTCACTTTGGTTAGTTTTTGTCATAGAAAGCTAGCAGACGTGCCTCTCCACAATTAATTGACTGACGAGGACGAACTCAACCACCTGTAATTGTAATATGATGATGAATTGAAGAGCACCGAAAAATGAAAATAATAATAGATATCCAACCAGGATCTTCCTCCTCTCACTCTTTTGAAAGGCTCAAACAGCTGCCGCTATTTTTGCTAGGTCACATCTTAGATGCTTTATAGCATAAACAATTATACATGGCATATAATTTCTGGATCCCCATCGTGGGGAAGTCACAAATCAAAAATTATTTTTCCGTTTCATCCATGTATACCTTTCTACAGATGACCATAATTTATTTTAGGCAAATTTAACTTTGTTGTTGGAGTCCGAAAATTTTTAAATAAAAAAAAAGTATGTTTAAAATATTTAATATTATTATAAAAAGTGTTATAAATAATTAAAATATCAAAAAATATGTATAAAATAATAAAATATAAAAATAATATAATAAGTTTTATTTGATACATATATTTTCATAACCAAAACACGCCTTAATAAACTTTTTGATTTAAAATTACAAATAAAAAATTTTTAAAAAGTTATTTTTATTATTTAATATTAAAATTAAAAAAATTTTGAACATAAAAATTACTTTCACCATCGATGCTAAAGGAGGGCTCATATAAAATTTTAGGTGGTGCTAGGTCTCACTCCTCTGCTTCACTCTTCCATCGCCAGCCACTGGTGCAGGCAGATATTTTGGGAAATTATGAGGGACGTGTACCGGATTTACACTCCTTTGAACAATGTTTAGACCGAAATCACCAAGACTTTTTTTGAAGGACCAAAATTAGTCATGGGAGTGCATTTAATGTGAGTTGGTGTCAGATTGTAAAATGATTTGATGAAATGTCAAATATAGGGGCCTTGATTCCTACTGAAGCTTGTGATTGACAACATTCCAAGTAAGCAAAAAAAGGAAAGATCTAATTTGTACAACCCCCAAGTCTGCAGATCACCTAAAAGTCTTTCTCCTCACGTGGATATGTCTCTATGTATATATATATATATATATATATATATATATATATATATATTTATATCTTGACTCTCCATTTTAATTTTAAATTTTATTTTATAAAAAACACTTTACATATTTAATTTTAAAATTTCATATATATATATATAAATTTTATTTTATAAAAAACACATTACACATTAAATTTTAAAATTTAAGATCAACATAAAGATGTTGATCTTAATTTTTTGGAATAAAGTAGTTGCATGAATATTACAAATTAATGTCTTCACTAATTGTCATGTACATACATTTATTTCAATTCACAAGTAATATGTCTAGCGTGTATGTGTTTTTTTTTTTTTTTGAAGAAATGTATGTGTTGATTACAAATTACAATGATACTTTATCTGGGGTTGGGCCCATGTTGCTGTTTGATCCAAGGGTTTAGAGGGCTTTGATATTTTTTTGGGAGTTTTGCGTTTACTCTGCTTACCATTTTCCTTTTAATTTTTTTTAATAAAATCAAAATTACACTTTAATCAAAGATCACTAATGGTTTTTTTTTTTTTTTAAAGATTGCAATATTACGATATAAAAATTATAAGTATTAAAATTTAAATTTGAAACCTATTAAATATTACATTTTTAAAATGTCTATTGATTTAAGTTTTGAGTTTAAGACTAATGATTTTTTCTCACAATGAAATAGTTACCCTTTACTTTTAATTTTTTAAAGGAAAAAAATCAATAAACTAAATTGAAAAAAAAATTATTAAGAGACATTTAAATTACATGTAGTTAGGGGTGGACAATCGATTAGTTCGATTTAAAAAAATCAATAATCGATTTAATCGATTTTCATTCAATAAATAATTAAATTGATCAAATATTTTTAAATAATTGACCAAAATCAATTTGGTTCAGACGGTTTGGTTAAATAACTTATTTTTTTATTATTTTTTTGAATAATTATTTAATCACAAATTTAATTTAATAAAATTCAAACTTAAGTATCATTTAAATTAAATGATTAAAAATTTTAATAATATTTTACAAGAAAAAATAAATAAAAATATTTATTTTAATTTTTTTATCTTTACTTATTAGAAAATTAATTAATTCTGTTAATTTAATTATCAATTTAAAAATAAAAAATTAATCAAATTAATCGATTTAATCAATTTAAAAAATTATTTATAATTAAAATCAAAACGATTCAATTAAATTCATTCAATTTTAATCAATCTAATAGACTTAAATCGATTTTTACTCATCTTTACAAGTAGTAAATTAATCAACAAATTCGGCTAGGCATACCTTATCGGCGGGCCTAATTTAATCCATTTTCCCAAATCTCCAGTGATGTCTTCTTTCCATCTTAAAATTTTAAACTCATGTCAGTGATTGTATTTTTCTTACTACAAAATATCTTTTGTAACGTTGAAAATATCTAGTGCCACATTTTTAATAATAGAAATTAAACAAATTATGTGAAAGAGGATGATTTTTTTTGTAGTCCTTAAGTTAGGTGAGATACTATGCACCAAAATAATGCCCATTTTGAAGTGGTGGGACGTCAAGATTGCCGGTCAAAGGAGGAAAGGATTTGGGAGTTTGAGACCATAACATGACAATGATATTAATCAATAAGTGATTTATTGGTTTAATTGATTAGATTTATTTTTTTAGATGAAAAAGATTTAAGTTTAAATTTTGTTGATGATCACTTGTTGAAGTTATTTTGAATGTACGATCTACAGTCACTTATCTTAAACTGTTAAGTACGGTACATTTTATTATGATTTGAAGAACTGAGTAATCTATTTACTCAGATTTTTTCTACTAAAAAAAAAATGAAAAGAAACTTATATTCAATATTCTCTATGAGAAGGTATTGATAAACAACTGCACTGATTGATGATGATGGATTTCTTATTCTTTCTCCTTATTAACCCTTTTTTTGTTTTTTGAAAAAAAATTCAAGATAGATAGATTGCAGTAAGTGCCCAAATAGACCAATTTATCAACTGAGTCACACGCATATCAGTTATTCTTTTTCATTTTAATGATAGGCCATATCACATTTTACATCTCTTTTGATCATTTGAAATCTACTGATAAGCATGGCTTAGAGGAAGAAACTAAGTCTTGCAACTGGTATGGTCGTTTTCATGCATGGCCCTCAAAGAGGTTATAAACTTATTCGAAGTTGAGGTCCTACTCTTCCTAAAACTACATGCTACTTTTGACTAAAAATGAGAGGTCAAAAGATGTTTGGAGGAAAATTTTGGAAAAGCTACTTATAGTCAAACAGGTTGGGGACTGGCAAGCTGAATTTGATTGGATTCAAGTGCATTCCAGAAGCAAAACTTTGATAGCCATCTTGTTGCATGGGGCTTGGACTCCCTATACTTATGCTACATGGCGTGCTAGGAACATGAAGAAGTTTGTCGGCTACTCTTTTAGTGTTGAGCAGGCAGTACAATTTATTGTTTTTTTATGTACAAATTAGGATGCAAGGCAAGGCTTTGTAAAATTTATTGATTCTTCAACCAACAGATCTATTTGTAATAATCGGGACTTAGGTGCAGCGTACTGTAATAATTGATGCAAGGGAATGTGAAAAAGCAGTTGCTTTTGTATGTACATTTTGTAGCTCTCTTAGATAATAAAATACCAATTCTAAAAAAAAAAAAAGGGAAACTGAAGGCATTAATTCATGTTGTAGTAAATTGAAATAACTCCTATATACAAGTTGGAATATGGAATTCAACAAACAGAACATATGGTATCTTTATTGGAGCTTCACATCGTATAATATCTCCTACATTTTATTACTACCTCCTAAAATGTATCATTCCCTCACAAGCCAATGTCCCTTCAAGATCTCCAATGATTCGAGCTATTCGAACCTCAAGACCTCTTTGAACTTCCTGAAATAATGATCTGATGTTATCAGAGAAGCGCTTCACGTCAAAGGTGGCTGTCTTGTCTAGCTCCACCCCAATAAACCCAGAGGCTATTTTGGATTGAATTTCCATCAACTTTTGACCTGTTGCAACCATATATCTCTGCAGCTGGAATGTCTCCTCAAGGAAATGCTCCAGTGTTCTAGTATCTCCTTTCATTTTTCTAGTACTACAATCTCCTTGGCTCGTGTCTAGATCATTGTCATGCTGAAAATTGTAGTTAAGATAATGATAAGCAAATAGCAATCTTTTTCACTTGCAAAAATACAGGCCTATTGATTTCATTTTCGGAATTAGTTTTAAACCTGGTGATTAACAACAAGTAAAGAGGAAAATGTTGCAGATCATGGTGAAAAACATAGATATCAGCAGAAGCCACTAAATTAGAAATTAAATCAACTTACCATCCGCTTGCAGAGATCATCAGTCTTCCCTTGAAGGGACTGGTAGCGGCTGACTTGTTTATTTAGCAAAGATAACAACAACAGCAAGCCTTTCATCCCATTGTCACCGCCTTCCATATCCTCTCCACTTTCTTGCTTTCCTGTTAGCCTCTCAAGCATGAGAAGTTGCTGCTTCAGCCTTTTGATCTTGTAAGAAACTCCAAGAGCTTGAAGATCCATCCTCCAGGGGGTATTTTTGGTTTTACTCGATGACTGGCCAGGTAATAATGACTTGTCAACAGAATCGACTACTGCTGAACCGTTAGTTTCTTTCTGAATTGAACCTGGGTCGGGAGATTCTCTCTCTTCTTCATACTCCTTTTCGGGTGATTGGACTCTCAATCTGATGTTTCTGGACTCGTGAGATGGGGTTACCTCTTCTTTCTCGGCATGTCTTTCTTGGGACTTATCCAGCAAAGTTATTTTTGTTTCTTGCTCCTTCTCGGTTGACTTTTTATTTATAATCTTGACCTTAGACCAAATGGCATCATGTGTTAATGCTGGATCATGGAGAGATAAATTTAATAAGTTGGTCTTCTGACAACTCAGAGGCTTTAATTTGGATGTAAACTGCTCCTTCAAGGAATCCAATTCTTCTTCTCTCTCCAGTAGCAAGGCTTCCAATTTCATATTTTCCTGTCTGAGCTGTGCGACATCCTGGTTCAGCCCCTCAACATGGGACTGCAGCCGTTTCGATTCTAGTTCCATGCTCAGCAGCCGCCAACGAAAAGCCTCTAACTTCTCATCTTTCAGTCTCATTTGTTCTGCAAAGGCATCCAGTTCCAAATGATGCCTCTTCTCAATTACAGTTGTATACTTTTCTGCTTCTGCTCGAACCCAACCTTCCAACCTTTTGACATCAGCTGTTACTATATCAAATGCAAGGGTAGAAAAGGAATAAAAACACAACCAAAAAAAAAAAAAAATCTAATGCAGAAATGATAAAATCTTAACAATAATTTTGACTGGATCTCATAAAACATACTACATACCGAGTAGATGAAAGACATATAGTACAACTAAGTCATCAACAATGCTAGCTATCAAGAAAATGTTTTTATGGTGAATCAAGAGAATAAGAGAAATTGTTCTCACCCAAGTCCTCATTCCCTTCTGGAGAGTGACAATCAGGAAGATGGGAAAAGACTTCTGGGTCTGTCTTCAACTCTGAATAGTCATATTCGAAAACAATATCAGTTGGCTGTGATCTGGTTTTGCCAGAGTCTGACACCTCTTTGACACCAGAGGAAACATCCAATTTTGCATTGGCTTGATTAGAAAACAAACCCTTCAGTGAATGTCTCTCATGTCTTGACTCAGAGACTGCCCTCCGCCTTTCTGTTTCTAGTTCAGCTTGCTTCTTCTTTGCCTTTGATACTTTAACCTCCTTCAAAAGCAATTGCTTCTCAGCCGAGTCCAACTTAGATTTCCTTAGCATTGCGGACAAAATCTTGTCTTTCTGCTCCAAATCCTTTCGCATTTTTGTAATTTCTATGGACAATTTTTGTGCCAATAGAACCGACTCCTCCTTTTGCTCTAGGGCTGCATCAAGCTCCAGCTTTGTAGCTTCAACTTGCCTAAAGGCTCGTCCCATCTCTGCTTCAAGCTGCCGTTGATTTGATACAATCTCAAAAAAAGCGGTTTTATGCTTCCAAAGCTCAGTAGAATGCTCCTGAGCTTCAAGCCTTGCAGTTTCTCTCAATTCGTCAGCAACAATTTCAAACTTGATTACCTTTTCTTCTAATTCCTTCCCCTTCTGCTCCATTTCTTCAATTATCTTATCCTTGGACTCCACCAAGAGCTCCATTTCATTCAATTGTTTATTCAAGTCAGCAATTTCTTCATCTTTCTTTTTCGCAAAGGCTCTCAACTCATTTATAAGAGCTCCAATTTGCTGTCGAAGTTTCTTCCTTTCAATTAACCATCCCTGTTCTTGAGATGCAAAGATGCCTACAACCTTCTCATTTGCTTTTGCATCTTCATGTCTCCTTTTCTTCAACTCCTCAATCTCTTTCTCAGCAGTCTCAAGCTTTTGGAGAAGCTCACACTTTGCTAGATTGGCTTCTTCTCTCTGGATTCTCCATACAAGCAATCCCAAGAGTTGAGCACTTCCTTGAAGCATTTTATCCCGTAATTCAGACCATTTCTCATCTTCCTTTTCAGGTCCTGTGAGGAGTCTGAGAGCAAAAAAAGCACAAGAAACACCAAAATACATTGGATACAAGCTGTCACTTTTCTCTTCAGAGATAATTAGATATGAACCAGAGATTCTCTTCTCATCCATTGCTTAGGAACTTGCTTCTTCGCCTTTCGAAATGTTAGAAGGAAAAAGAAAGTTAGAAATCAAATTGGGAGATGAAATTAATAGGCAAAAAGAAAGAAAACTGAAATTCCAGGCATTCTCTGCTTTAACATGACAGAGTTCACACCTATAAAGGAAAACCATTTTCTATATGATTTAGTACAAATAATTGAACACAAAAAGCATTACAATAATGGAGGAACAACAAATACCCTACATAGTTAGCAGCACAAAAACCTTGTAAAACCGTACAATCCATGACAAAACAGTGTAAAACTTACAAGAACAAAAGGTTGAAAGGCTTTCTTCAATTAAAACCAGATCAGATGCTACAACTTTATGAGAAAATTTTATTAGCCTAGAGAGGCCAACGTTGGTTTTCCATGAAGATCTTTCAAAGGGCTAGCTAAACCCAGCTGTAGAAGAAAAATTTTCGAAGTGCCAGCTTGATTTGGAAGTTATCCATTATAAATGATCAGGGAATACCAAAAGCATGAGTTTTTACACGTGTAGAAGTCTGCCAAAATCAGTTAAAAAAGCAAAATTTTTACAGAACGGAAGGCCCTGTTCCCTGGTTTTCAGTGAAACACTCAGACCTGATAACCCCACTTGCTTCCACTCAACTTTTTCATCTATTCCTCCTTCAGCACTGGGTCATGAGTCATGACTGAAAAGGGGAGCAAGAACACTAGATTCCTGGTGGTTTGTCACTATTAGTAGCAAGGAAAAAGTTGAAGAAGAAAATAAAGAAATATTCCTTGAATATATTTCCAGAGTGTCTTCCACTTTTATAAATTACATAAAATTTTTGTTTGAAACCCCAATGCATTGAATAATAACAATCTAAAAAACTGCTCAAAAGTGTACGTTTTTTCGTAGGTATAAAAAACGAATGCTAAAAAGGCTGTATGAAAGTACTTTTCAGTTCTTACTTGTAGCATAATAGACTGTCCTTAGCCTGAAAAATAGAATTGCTTGGAAATGTGTATTTTATTTCCATTTTCAATGATTTAGGACCATATGAAAAAGATATTATGCGAGTTAGGATTACAACTTAATGATAAACTTACGTGAGATATATCTAAATATAATCATATATATATATTTATTTATTTAGCTAAAGAGAAAGTAAAAGTCTTACTTAAATTATTAATTATTGAATAATATAAAAAATTATTAATTATTATAGTATAAATCCTTCAACATACTAAAATAAAATTTTTTCTTGAGAGTTGTACACTACCAATCTCTATCCTTTTCTCTCATGTTCTGTTGTTTTCGAGAAACTTTTCTCTCTTGGTTTATTTTTCAATGGCTGAATGCTGTTTTCTTAGTAAAAGTGAAATGGCCGACAGTTTCATGTTGGTTTTAAAATTAAACCAATAACTGCCCAAAGGTAGTACTTTTTTAAGAAACAAAACTGCCTTATAGTAGTTACAAATGGATACAGTGCTCGGGTCGAATGGTACCAAACTCTCGTAATCTCAAGAGCATTATCTTTATTCTTTACATCTACTTCACATAAGAAAATAAATCGTGTGGCTAGTATACTTCAACAACTTAGTTGTTATATGAATGTTAGGTGCACATAACAACTATAGTCATATCCATGCATTTATACAACTATTATATATGTATAGTAATTCTTAATTACATATAGACTAAGTATGCAACACTCTACACATATTTAGTCACATTTTAAATTTCTCATAATCTCTTTTTTATCATATTACATGATATATTTATGTATTCATAATTATATCACAATTATGTTTGACGTTTCAAACATAATTGATAGACCTATGAATATAATCAAATGTGACACCAGAATGATTTTCCTTCTTCTAGAATTTTTTCATTTCAATTCAACTATTATCCATATTAAAAATGATATGAAAAGATTGTCAGGATTTAATTCCAGAATCAATTCACATTAAAATGACAGGAAGAGATTTTTAGGATTTAATTTTAGAATCAATTCTCATTAAAACAAAAATCAAATAAAATCATATGTTTAAGGGGAATTGATTGACATGAATTCTTATATAAATTTGTGATCAAAGCAAAGGGGGGATTCAGAGAAAAAAGGTTATGTAGAAACTCTTGAGAGAAAAGAGAGAAATTTGTTTAGCAACCAATATGTTTTAGGTTATGGGTTTGATTTGTTTATATTTTCTAGAATTAGGATTTGGTGTTTTTAAGTTTGAATTTCGATAGGGTTCTACATTCTAAAGATTTCTAGGTTTAGCTTTTTAGACAATTTGTTGAGTTTCTGAAAATTCTCTATCAGCTTTTGGGATTTGTTTATCAATTTCTAAAAATCAATTAGAGAAAAGAGAGAAGAATAACTATTTTAGAAAGAGAGGCATACTTAAATACTTATGAAGAAAAGCTTGAAATTTAAGGTACCCATATCTATATGTTTTATCATGCATAACCCGACTTGATTACAGGTTTTTTTTTTCATTTTTATTTTAATTTTAATTTTTTGATTTTTTTATCATTTTATATTTTAAGTTTTTTATTTCATTTTTATTATTTATTTTATTTTATTGATTTTTTTGTAAGCTTTTATTATTTATTAAATATTTTATTAAAAAATTTTATTATTTTATTTTTGAAAAACAATAAAAAAACAAAAAAATCTTCTTAAATAAATTCATGAATCCCGCCAAACTATTGGAGGATTTTCATGGATTTAAATTTTATGGAATCCATTAAACTATTAGAAAATTTCATAAATCAGTTTCCAAAAAGAAATATTTTTATCCTACCAAATTATTGGAGGATTGTTTCATAAATTAAGTCTTACCAAACTATTGAGAAGCTTAATGAAATACTTAAAATTTTTAAAATATTTTTGTAATAAAATTTTACCAAACTATTAGGAGATCTACTTCAAAGTAAGTCTTACCAAACTATTGAGAGACTTTACTGATTTTTTTAAATACTATAATAAATTCGACGACAGAGCCTCTTTAGAGTGAGACACTGGTCTCCATGAATACTGCTAACGTAAGAGAATTATCTTAAGTTATCACCAAACTATTGGGGTGATTTTAAGATTATGTCTCAATATTAAATATTTTGGTAAAATACAAATATAATCAAGGTTTGGATAATCTAAAATCAAATTGGTACTATCTTTTGGATTGGCGCTAGGAGGTATTATAATCTTTCCCATACATAACTATACTCCCAAACCTAAACTCTGATTTCGTAGATCAGATTTGATCAAATGATCAATCACACCTAAGCAAAAAAAATTGGTGGCGACTCCTTTAATCCATGTCTAGCGATAGGTCCACGGATATATATATGTTATAATAGTTTGGCAGCTCTACTAGGGAGATCAAGAGTCAAGCTAGTAAATGATTTCTTATTATCCAAGCCTTGCCTAATAAATTTGGTATTATATTTTTTCTTTCCTATTTATTTCTTTTCATTGCTTAATTTGTTTAGTTATCCATTTATTTATTGTATATATCTGTCATTCATTTGAATATGCATAACATAAAGCTATCCACTCAAGCTTTACCCTTAATAGGGAGTGAAGTACCTATGCCCTCGTGAGATTTCATGTCTCTACATGGGCCTGCAAAAAACTCTCACTCCAATTGAACCATTTTTCGCTTATAGCCTATGATGGGTGAGGATTGAGGTGCCTTACTAGTCTGTAATGAACAATAATGTAAGGAATAATTTGAGAATCTTTTAGAAGTAATCTAAACTGTATATAGTTAACTTTAAAAGCCTAACCCTAGATAGAGCCATATCCTCCACCCTTTGTAATTAATCTAAAATTTAGGGTCATGTTGTTATTTTACTTGCTTTATAGTGTTTATTCTATATTTTCTATTGAGGTGACTAACCAATTTTCTTGTCTTGTTTATTTCTTTTCTTCTTGTGCATATTTATAAACATACATGCATTGCATTACATTCATTCATGACCATTTATTCATTATGTCAAATAATGTCAAGATCACTTATTCTAGACTGTGGTACTAAGGTGCAAGAATAGCTCAACATCCATATAACACTTGAGCTAGAGCCAAAAAGATGGATCAAAACAATGCAAACTATTTTGAAAGGTTAGAAAAGGCTTATAAGCTAATTGAGAGGAAGCTAAGCAAGATCCTCAAAGCTCTAAATAAACTAAACAAAGGAAAAATGGTAGAGGAAGATATCTCGCATGAAGTCACTGAGTCACTATATCCTCTAGGTTTCAATCCATATCAAACCCAAGCCACTCCAAGCTTTCAGCCACAAAAACCACGTTCCCAAGTCACAGTTACTTGAAAATGCCCTATGCACCCAATCAAGTAAATGCTCATGAGTTACACTAATTCTGTTTTTGTTGAAAAGATAGTCAAGCCAATCCAAATCCTTAATCTGGATAAGATAAAAGAAAAAGTAAAGTTATAGATAACTATGTCCTTGGAAAACTATAAAACTAATTAAGCTATGAGCATGATAGAAAAAAATTATGGGCTGTAGAAGGCATTAATTTTTATGGATCTATGGATGTTGCCAACCATTGTTTGGTTTCAGATATTGTAATTTCTATAAAATTTAAGAAATACGATAATACTAAGTGTCCCATTACACACATCATAATATACTGTCGTAAAATGATAGCACATGCTAGCAATGAAAAATTGTTAATGCATGTGTTCTAGGATAACTTAATCGAGTTTATTGCAAGATGGTATGTCCAGTTGAATAAGACTCACATTAAGTCGTGAAAAAATTTGACTTGATCTTTCATTAACCAATACCATCACATCATAGACATGGCTCTTGATCGCCTCTCGTTACAAGTACGAAAAAAATATTTGAATATTTCAAGGAATATGCCCAAAGATGACGAGATGTCACTGTTCAGGTACAATATCTCTTAACGAAAAAAAAATGATAATGCTATTTGTAAGCACTCTAAAGTTATCATACTATGAGAAGATGATAGGGAACGTAAATAAAAATTTTATAGATATGATGATTTTAGGAAAGATAATTAAAAATACAATCAAAAAAGATAAATTGAAAGAAAGAGAATTTTTTACTACTAAAAAGATACCCAAAAAAAAAGAAAGTAAGACTCAAGCTGTGAGTTTCGACAAGCAACAATCCAAAAACTACCCTCAATAAATCTATCTCACATATCATTCTCTTATAAGTCATACTTCTGTTGTACTATACTAGTCAACTCCATGACCTTCTTATCCATTTACACCTAAGCCCTCCATTCATCCAACTACCCCAATAAATGGTGTGTGAGAATCACGAAATTGAGAAAAACCTACATTTGACCCTATTCTTATGAGTTACATAGATTTATACAAAGAGCTTTATAAGAATCATTTGATTGTTCTTATTTTTGCAAAACAACTGAATTTCCCTATCCCCAAGGGTATAACTCCACCACTTACTATGACTATCATTTTAGGGTGACGAGCCATTCTACCAAAAATTGTATCCCTTTGAAACATATGGTGCAAAGTTTAATCAAAGAAGGGCTAATAAATTTTGATACTGATAAAAAAAAACCCATTATCTAATCATCCAAGGATATAATTTTAGAGAGGTTGATTGAAACTGCTTATCATCTTAAACTTTTTGAGAATATGAATATTCTTTTGTATACTTGAATTTCATCTTATTTTTCATCATTTTAATAAAGTGACAGATTTGATGCATTTTCATAACATTTTTCTTTTGTATGAAACACCATTATTTATTTTTATCTTCTCATACCTTTTTCCATATCCATTCTTTGATTTTGAATAATGAATGTTCAAATAATCGTGATAATAATTCAGGATTCAATTTTGAAAACCTCATTCGATGATCTGATTAATAAATGAAAATTGTTTATTCATTAAAACTGTTGAATAAAAAGATAAATTTGGAGAAGAATTTTAAAAAT